GACAGAAAATATTTTATACCTAAAATATTTATCCAACCAAGTATTCAAGAGATTACAAATGGAAATTTAAATTCAAATATAATCTGTCATCAGTCACCTGTCACTCTGCTTCTTTACCATTGTGAAATCACTAGCCTCTTTTTTTTAAGAAAATCGGCCAATTACCACTAGCCTATTTTTATTCGATAATTTAGCTAATTTATTACCTTCTTATTGTATAAGATGAAGGCCAACCCAAACGACAAATAAAAAAGAAGAATACCAAATTTCTTCAAGACAAAGGCAATGAAAATATTGAAAATTGAGAAGAACGAAATAACCTAATATAACCTAAAATTTCTTGGAAATACATACAAATATGAATTTTAGACAGGTAATCTAAGCAATTAAGAATTTAGGACATGATGTTACTTATGAAAAATTTGAATAAAGCTACAAATTGGTATGTTGGTCCAATTAGTTGTCCCATGATCCCCTATCAAATGCTCCCGAGCTACTTATTGCCATTTATTATAAAACACAAAACAAACCATTTTCTGCAATAAAAACGCTTATAAACTGTAGATTCTAAACACTTGGTGGATGTAAAATCTATTTGAATTATATCATTAACTTTTACAACTTAATTTTTCTTTTTAATGAGAGAATATTCGACTGTGTACTTAGAACTTATAAAAAAAAATGTAATGTAAAGCAAGACAATAATGTGTTCTGACACAAAGGATAATTAATTTTTTAACAGTTGAAACAAGTAATGCCATACATGATCATGTTACTTCTATGCATATCCTCATTTGCCAACTGATATAGAGGTGCTTGATTTTAAATTGTATTACTAAGAAGTAGCGTCAATTAAGCTCGACTTCATACAAGTGAAAAACATTTAATCAAAACAGAAATAAAACAATAGGTAATCAAAATCTATAGAGTTAAAAAGTTATAGTATGTTAAGAATGAGATTAATCAACAAGATTATTAAGAATTATATCAGTTTAGAGTTTCTATAACCTGCAATTAAAAATAAACTCACCATTAACGTCTTCTATGGTGTTCAGTATGAATAATAGCAACTCTCAATTCATAGTTTTGAAGAAAATCGTCATATTTCTAAATACTGCGATCGACAATTCCGATTTCATTCTGTTTTCTATCATTGTGTACCTCCGTTTCTCCCTCTTTAGAAGATATCACGACTATACCTCTACCAACTAGAAGAAAATGAGATTTTTTAGGTACCATAAAAAGAAGTTATCGTATTTTAAATTACAGATCATAATAACTGTCAGGAGCTCTGCGTCGCTGGCACCCGTCTCCGGGACCACCCCCTAGCTACGACGCTGATCAACGTAAAATTTACACATAAATATTCAGTGAGAAATGTATAGGTAGGTTGGAATAAATTTGATATCTTTCTAATCGCATTTTAACCAAACTACAATCGGATGTACTAATGACGTCACCACTTTCGTGAACATAATGCCAGAAAAATATCGAATTTATTTCAACCTATATTTCCCCTCACTATATAATAAAAATTTAACAACATAAATTTACAATAAATCTAGAATCAAATTTCTTTTTACAATCTGAATCATTTTGTAATTCCTATATTACAAAATCATAGACATCGCAAAACTAAACAATTAACCATATAAAACACTTGAATATTCAAGATTATCTGTAAATGCACTCACATCATTTAACCCTAGATTGTCAGTGTACCCCCATTTGACTTGTATATTTCCATATCTCCCTACTTTCCGTTTCTATCACATCGACGTTTTAGATATGCTTTCTTTAGTCTGTCGTCTGAATAGCGTAAAAAGTGTGTCGACGTTTTTGTTATTTTTATAGTTCCTAAATAAGTCTATCTATATCTGGAAAAAATAAGCAGTCAAAAAACGATCATTCCAAAGTGGGAGGAAATTCACAATAATCTATGACCAACACTATCCAAGAAGGAACTTGAAAGTATTTTCATGAGTTCTTATAGCAAAAAAGAAAAGAAAATAAAATGTGTGATTTGCATGAAACCTTTAAGTAGGTATGTGGCAAGCATCACAATAACACATGTAAAATATATTACGATTTTTAAATGTTTTGTAACTGTTACATTATTAATCTTAGTTCAAAATGTTTTTTTGATCTGAAAACTCTCAAAGAGTGACTTAGGTTGTTTCTGAAATTCACTCCGTGCCTGACAGCAGCGCCAATTCATTTTTTGTACTAATAGACTATTTTTGCCTACATAGAAAAATTTTGCCTACACTGACAATACAATTTTTAATGGAATTCGTAATTAATATGGATTAGTAAAATAAGTAAAACATTAATTTATTATTATTATATATTTTTATCGCTTAAACTAAAATAATTAAGTATATTTAATAAAAATCAATAATAAAATAAAGGCAGGCAACATTATTTACGGGAAAATGTATGAGAAGTTGCCTAAGTCTAATAAATTGTCTTTGAAGAATTAACCTATTCTTTCCCTTACCTGTGTGTATTGTGTGTGGTGTGTGAGTGTGGTGTGTGTTGGGTGTGTGTGTTTGGTGTGGGTGTGTGTGTTTGGTGTGGGTGTGTGTGGTGTGTGTGTATAGCGTGTATGTGTGTGGTGTGTGTGTATGTGTGGTGTGTGTGTGTGTGTGTGTGTGGTGTGTGTGTGGTGTGTGTGTGTGTGTGTGTGGTGTGTGTGTGTGGTGTGTGTGTGTGGTGTGTGTGTGTGTGGTGTGTGTGTGGTGTGTGTGTGGTGTGTGTGTGTGGTGTGTGCGTGGTGTGTGTGTGTGTGTGTGTGTGTGTGTGTGTGTGTGTGTGGTGTGTGTGTGTGGTGTGTGTGTGTGTGGCGTGTATGTGATGTGTGTATGTGTGTGTATGTGTGTGTATGTGTGTGTATGTATGTGTATGTGTGGTGTGTGTGTTGGGTGTTGTGTGTGTGTGTGTGGTCTGAGATAGAGTTTGTGAAGGTAAATAATATTAAAATCATTTAAGACAATATAGATATTTTATTAAAAAATTCAGTTAGAACAAATACAAAAATGATCACTAAATATTGAAATCACAATAGCCTTACATGTTTGGCACGAAATGTCAATATAACACTATACTTACTTATATTTTACAAGTTATGTAATAATCTACTTAACATCTTACCCATATATTGTCCTTCGCCTTGGTACCAATGCTATAACGACTTGCCGTGTCGTCTATTGATGGATTTATTATTCTTTTTTGATATATGCAGATGGGTCTTATGTATAATTTTGATAAATACATTATTGCAACTGCTAAAGTTTATGATTCTTATTTTATTTAGGTGGGTAGAAAACCGACAATGATTTAATTTGAGACGTGACAAAATAGAAGTATATTTTTTGTTTAACCAAAATTGAAGACATGATTATTAGAAAGTTGCGTATGAAGTTGAAAATAGTGATTATTATACTTTTTAGAAACATAATGGTATTGGCATATCCAGTTTTAGTTAAATTTTTCATATATTTAATGAGGAAATCAAAGAATGATGAGAATTAGTCTATAACTTTGACATTAACGTTTTAATTTTTTTGTAGTTTTTTTAATATTTTGTGCACACAAGATCAGCGAAGGTTATTTTGTCTTCTTCAATCTTCATTCCATTTCATACTGGATCTGAAGCATTGAATGCTGATTGACATGTTATTATATGTGAAGTCGAGGATTTTTTCTTTATCGGACTCAATCTTGAGGTCTCTAAGTTTCAAATAAGATACCTATCTATCTTTTTAATTATTAAAGTGGTATATTTTTAAAATGTTAATAAATAGCTAACCTCTATTTTTATTAATTTACAAAACTAATTACTAAACGATTATTTAACTAACTTTGAGAATAAATTTTAAGACTTCTAGTAACTTAAATGAAATAATAACAATTATGAGGGGAAAAAAATCTCAAAGAACGTGTCACAAAAATGTTCTATCTCTACTGTTCACCTTTTGATATAATGCAATGACTGTTGCGGTATTAGCCAAGGAAGTAGGTATGTTTAAGAGGGACATAGTCGTCATAGTTTGTGTGACACGGTCTATGAGGTTCTATCTTTTTCCTTCATAATTAATTTTTAAATTGGTCACATTTGAGAAAAGGAATATTTTTCCTTTGAAATAATAACAAAACTAAGTTTGGTCTATAAACAACTTTATTTGGCACTCAAATTACGTCAACACTAATACAACGTATTGTTTAACTTGAAAGTGGACAGCTAGTGAACTTCAAATGAATATTTTTTGATACAAACCGATCGACAATGAATACAATGGAAGTCAACGACATCTTTAATTATAAAACAAACATTTATCAGTTGTTTGAAGTTCAAGGTTTCTTTAATTTACAGAATATTTATCATGGAAGAGTGAGCAATCAATTACCAAACGATAAATAATCAACTTAATATTATGTATCTTGAAGGTTTAATATAATTGCAGGAGCACGTGGAATCCATGGAACAAATTAAATAAAATAGATCCAATGGATAATTTTAGATTTTTAAAATTGATATTTGATTGTGTAATGTCTAGATTTAACGCGTATACCACGTTATGTTTTAACACCAACTCTTAACGCTTAAATCGTCCTCTTTTTTAAATTTCGCGGGCTCAATGTCGTCATACATGCATAATCAATAAGAGAGTGTCTACTCGGCCACTACTGGATATGATCTGTATCAGTAATTGATAACATACGATGTGTATATGATTATCGCATGGTTACAAATAGGTTATTTGTGATATTCATAATAATAAGGTTTTGAATACCTAAAATATCTGATAATTGTCTAAAAGTCGAAAATCAAAGATGGAGAGATATTCATCTCAAAAAGTGTGCACAATCAACAAATTCTGATTAATTTTGTTGACACTTATTTCAATTATAGGTACTAATTGTCAACAGTATACCAATTGATCCAATTTTTTTAAATTTTAATTCATCATATCAAAATAGTTATACCTATAAACAAAATATTTAAATAAAATGCATTCAAATTCAATAACTATTTCCTATTCCCTCACTAAACTAGTTCCCGAACTAATTTTATTGATTGTTTTAATTCGCACGACTTGTTTTGTTGTTAGTGTGTTGTTGGCAACAGAATGACACAGATATTTACGTCAAAATATGCATCTGTTGTAAAGCAAATGATCTTATTTTAATTTGTTGATGTCTACTAAAAAGGTACGTATACGTTTAACAATCACTTTTGAATCTAATGTTTTTATTTTATAAGCTTCACGCTTTACGTAATTCATTGATACCTACATAATAAGTGTATAGCGTTGGTAACTACTTATTATATCTACATAATTAACTACTATAATATGTGCAATTATGAATATTAGTAACTATTTTTTATGTATTTTAGTTTTTTAATCGCTATAAAAACATGTAAGTGGTAAAAAGTTTAATTTAAAAAAATGTGGTCCTAGAAATATGGCTGATCAATCTATGACTTTATTTCTAAGACTAGAAAAAAGGTGTAGATGTATAAAAAAGAAAGAAATAACTAATGCGTAAATCAATTTGAGTACTAATACATAAAATTTTATTTTTTTTTGCCTACTGGTGAAGTTTTATTTTTCATATTCATACATTATAGAAAAGATAAATATTAAGGATAACAGGAATACAGATTTTGAATCTATGGAAGTAATTAAAGAAAATGCTTGTTTAAATTAAATTTAATTAAAAATATAAACTCATAAACTTCTCGCGTATAACGTGTTAAAATTATTCTAATTAGAATTTAGGAAATAATTAAATAAATACACAAAATATTCGAAATAATGTAAGCACTAGCAGCTGCGGTTTTTGTGCACTACTGATTCACAAAGGTGACTACTCGTAGGTATAGTACAGTATTTGAAGGTTTTTCGCTACGAATATTGAAGCAAAATTTTTAACAGTTAGTAAACAATGCCTAAAGGAAAAAGAGTTATATAGTGTGATGTGCGCTGTCACTTTGGGAGTGGAACCAGGGCCGACTAGAGGGGGGGCAGCCGGGACTCAAATGGGGGCCCGGCAGCAGTATAAGGGGGGCCCGGTAACCATGGCGAGAAGTTCGGCACAACACAAGAGAGGGAAATTTTTAGGTTGGGGACCATTTTTTTTTGTTTTTTTTTTAGAGTAATTTAAGTAAAGATGAGAGAATATTTTTTATAAAATTGTCAAGGGGCCCGATCTAGAGAATTGTCCTGGAGCCCAGCCTGGCTCTCGGCGGCCCTGAGTGGAACACATACTTTGATTACTATACGGTGCAAGAGAGAAGCCCGACACGCCCAACATAGGGCGCGGCCATTTTGATGCCTTTGCCACAGTTTGTAGCTAAAGAATCAGTTCACTCACTCTGCGTCGGCACTTTTGATCTCAATGTTTCAGTTTATACACTGTGCAACTCGGATAATACAATATATGACAACCGCCTATAATAAAACAGCAGTCTTCTGCGTATCCTGAATTTGTATCCCTGGAGTGGATGTTATTTTGGAACTTTCAACTGGTCCGAGTGAGCTAACTGATTCTTTATCAATAAACTGTGACTTCAAAAATAATATTCACTGACACTGACAGCAGCAAGCAAAATATCAGGTGCGTTTTAATCATCCGCTTCTGCTTCCGGAATTGTCGGTTTAGTCGTTTTAACCTGTCAGATTAAAACAAGAAAACCGACAATTCCAAAGCAGAAGCGGATGATTGAAACGCACCTATTAAAAATATTGCGCCAAGATGTAGGCAACACGTAATAAGGGTTCAAAATGGCGGAGTTTTCTATCTCCTTTTAAAAGGCACTTAGAAAGCTGCGCAGTGCGACCATTCTCCGTATAGTAAAAGAAAATCAAAGTATGTGGTTCAGCATTTTTCCCCGTCCAGACTGAGGACGTCTAGTGATGTGATCATTCGAATATTCGATTATTACCATTATTCGAATTAATTTGATTATACCAATATCATTCGAATCATTTGAAATGTCTGAAATTGTAATAAACGAACGAGAGTCACTTGGAGATCTATTTTAAAACATTTCTCTCAAGATTTTCATGAGAAGTGTCAGACGTCAACGTGGAAATAGTAGTTTTAAAGCCAGTGAGAACTGTTTTCTGTTTTTTCGGGAGAATTAATATACTAAGAATTTTAATTCTTACTGGCTTTCAAAATAATGTTTTTACGCTGTCATATGACATTTCTTCCGAGATAAATCATTTGAAATCGTTTGAAAATAAGTCCCCAGGTGACTTACTTAAATATGGAGTAGAATAGGCACCCAAAATTGTTATTTTCCTTAAGTAGGTTACACATGCAACGTTTTTGCGTCTTTTCTTTTAGCGTATTACGTTCTAATTAGATAGATCTCTATCAAGTCGGGGAACCACTCAATCACTCCAAAGCAAAACGGTTGCATGATAAATACGAGTAAATATTGACGTATGACGTTTTAGACTTTGGTGTACCGCGTTCTAATTGAATCGTTAACTGTCAATGTATTATCTTTTGACACGTTGATCTTGACCAACCAATGAAGTGGAGAGGGGTAGAATGATAACTGTCAATGAAAAAGTCTGGACACTATGCACAATTTCGTTTTGCACATTTTGTAAACAAAATTCAGGGACGGTTTAACAACATTTTGTGCAACAATTATAAAATAGTGCATCGAAAAATAATTAACAAGTATAATTTAATACTAAATCGGAATAAAAGCATAAAAATCATAAATATAAGCAAGATAACAAAGAATTGACGCCAAAAAAGCTTACAACAGCCAAAACACAAATAAAAAACAGAGCTGAACATGAACATAATCGCTGAATAAAGTCGATCCTGGAATTTGTTTACAGTGCTTTAGGGCAACCTCTCCTTGTCATTTACGTGTGTAAGAGTGGAAGGCTGAATCACGCATAATTTCTACACTCGTGATGGATGCGCAGACGGTACCTTATCGTTCTACCCTCTCTACTTCTTTGTGACCAACCCAATAATTGATGATGGTAATAAATCATTCGAATGTTATGATTCGAATACTCGAAGATTTCGAATTTTATTTATGCGAGTATTAGATTATGACGATCATTCGATTATGTCCATCACTAGGACGTACTGCGCGTTGTCTCCCTTTGATATACCGCCAAAAAACGAATCAGGGTGAGGCCGCACGACGCACAGAACGAAGCAATATTCCACTCCTCGGAAGCTCGTCCATATTTGCAAATTTGTACCCGCCTTAACAAAGACACAGTTTACAAATGATTTATTTATTTCTTCATAAAAACGTTTGCACTGTGACCACACTATCTCTATCGCATTGTACTGGCAGTGATATGGAGGAGTTCTTAATATTTTATGCTCATATTCTCAACATATCACCTTCCATCTAGTGTCTACATCGTCAGCCATCATTTTTGGACAGTCTCTTCCATGATCCTTTCCATCACACTATCTACATTATATATTATTTTGGGAAGTATTGGTAGTGCTGAGGACTCATCCTAGCAGATAGTTTTGTATCCACCCTTCTCGATAACTCTGTTATACCGATATAGTTAGCCATTCCACAGACCCACTCATTAAAGTCTTGATGGTCAAAGTCACCTCTTTTCATCGATACTTTTTCTCACTCTTTTAACTTAAGTATGCCAGGAAGTTTTGTTAGAAGATCTTTTTGTAGTTGAGGATTTTTCACGTGGCCTACAGACTTGAGTGTTCTCATAGTGGACACTAGATTATTAATTCGTTTGAAAATTGCATTAGTTTGTCTAGATTGTATTCTTTTATAAAGAGGGCATGACTTTTATTTTAGAGATCAAAACTTTAATTATTTGTTCTGACCTACCAAATTCCTGCGACTGATGCTTTTGTTTCGCCTTTTAGATATTTTTGTAACTTCGTCATGATTTCTGCTTAACTGTAGTTACCTAGTGAGATAATGTTATTAAATTGACAGTAAAGGAATGGCCATTCCTCTGGTTTTTTATCAAAGTAAGGAACATCTTTGTTGTGCAATTAATTTTTCTGTATTTGCGGTAGAATTTGAGCTTAATGCACTTAAATGCGTTCGACAAAATATTTTCATGTCATTGCCTATTGCTATTGCCTATACATTGCCTGATTCGATTTTTTTCATTATCCTTCAGCTATTATGCAATTATTGTAGACGTTGAGTTCGTTCTAGGAAAGTCATCAGGAAGATCAACTTTGGATGTGGTTTATCTTGAACCCCTTTGACTTTTTTTACCCAAAATTCTAAGTTCTGCTTCTTGCAGCTCATGTTCTATATCTAACAGTTTTATGTTATTCTTTATTTCAATTTTTTCTCTTTTTAGTTGCTGTTTTTTCTTTTCTTTATCCAATTCTAGCCTTTTTCTGTGAATGCTTGTACTAGATGATGAGAAATCTGCTTCGGAAAAGATCTTTTTTGATCGTTGGTCGGGTATTGACTAAGTTTCCCTATTCTCTTGGCTGCCAAAATTATCCAGGCAGACGAAATCAGTAGACAAACTTTTGTTAATAACGACTCCATTTGTTTATTTGAAGAAAGAATTGCAAATTTTCTTCCAAACCTTCAAAACTGGACTATTACTAGTAAATAAAAATTCTGTGACGAGCAAAAATAAAATGTACATTAATTTAACGATTTTAGGGTGACCATGGCTCGAACTCATCGAAAAAAATTGCTTCAAATACGACAAAACATCCCCTGCAAGAGACTGAAAAAACCAAAACCAAGAAAAAACCTACAGACTTAGAATTATCGAAAAAGAAAACCGTAACGTCTAGCGTTAAGTTAGTAAATAAACCTGAGTTATCAAAATATGATAAAAACAAACCAAGAAACCCTCATACAACTTTAGAAAAGAAGAATAGTTTACATGCAATTAAAACTAAACCAGAAATATCATCTAGAAAAAATACATCGATTTCGAAAGAACTGGTAGATAATAAGAAAGAAAGAACACCTATAAACTTAAGCAATATAAAAATAAATTCAAGAATTACAAGTAATCCTTCAAAAGTAGAAACCAAACCAAATCCAACTAAACCTAAAATCAACTCAGTTTTACCAGAGTTTACCAAATCTATTCATACAGACGAAGAATCTAATAGACCTTCAACAGCTACATTACCACATGCCACTGTTACAAACAAAAACAAAGTTGGTCCTGATAATTTAAATGTATCCCCATCTTCTAAATCAGATTCGTCTGAAGACAACAAATATGAAGACGATTTTGAATCGTACGAATCCGATTTTGAAGAATACTCTTCATCTAGTACAGCAAATTTGATACGCGACATATCGAGCAGCAGTTCATTGAGTAGCTCTTCAGAAGAACCAATGTCATTCGAAAAACATTCAACGAACGGTGTGATTTTATCGAGCGGAAGCGAAGATGATAAAACACTCGATTCTGGTAACTTTGAGATGCAGGGTTACAAACATAAACCCATGCTGGATAATATTAAAGAAGCTATAGAAAAAGAAAATATAAATATATCGAATTATGCTTCGTTTTCTGATGAAGGATTTGAAGACCACAAATCGTTTCAGTTTGTAAATTTTGTAGAAGCTCAAATAAAAAATAAACGTAGGAATAGCATTCAAATGAGACAAAAACGTGGGGAAGAAATACTAAGTATGGTTAGATTAGATTGTTGCAGTTTTACATTAATTGATTTAGCACCGATTTCATATGAAATGTACGTTAGAAATTTCGGATCAAGTAATACAATACAAACTTCAACTCAAACAGGAGATGATGATATCGATGAAGAAATACAAACAGACGAGGTTGAAAAGGTGGAAAAAGGCACACAGCAACCAGAAGTTTTCATTAGTTATAATAAAGCAGAAACTAACAGTAATAATGATAGCAAAAACGTTAAAAAAATATTTAATAATAAGTTTCTCTTAGCTGCCTTTGAAGTAATTTTAAAAATCCAAGAAGAATTTAGTATACTGCGATATAATTCAGAAAGTGGACCTTTAAGTAAAAGCATTGCTAATTTTAAAGCAAATATTAGTATTTTTTCAAACTCTCATGTTACAAGTATTCATTTCCCTTCAGACAAAAACGATAAATTCATTTCAGTTCACTCGAAAGTTGAAGGATCTCTTGTTACAATATGGAAAATTTCAAACTGTGAACAACCAGAGTCAATAATTGTTTGCCATGGAGCCATAACTTGTTGTTCTATTGGAGTTAACTGTCAAGAATTCATTTTTACTGGATTGGAAGATGGGTAAGTCAAGAACAAACCTCAATAGTTCCATTTATTTTTAAAATCCGTTCTTAACTTTTAACATTTCAAGGGCATAATCACTTTGGTAACATTTCATCTAGTTCTCGTTGTTTATCGAGTTCTTCGACTAAGAGACGTTGAAAAAGTCTTTGGAGGTGATGAAGGAGTAACTTAGGACCTTCTTCAGTTAGAGGAGAAGTTAAGGAAGGCTTTGAAGACTCGAAAACGAAGACGAGGAGCTAAAGGAGTGCTGTTGAGGAGACGTTAAGGAAGTCTTTGGAGACTCTACGATGAAGAAGTGACACAAGACCTTCTTCGGTTAAAGAAGACGTCGAAAGAGCCTTTGGAGATTCACAGTCGAAGAAGAGAAGCTGACAAATTAATGTAGGATCATCTTCGGTTGAGGAGCCGTTGAAGAAACTGTTGGAAACTTGAAGACGAAGGAATGACAGTGGAACTTCTTCGATTAAAGAAGATGTTGAATAAGCCTTTAATGAATCGCACACGAAGAAGAGAATCTAAAGGAGTAATGTAGGGCCATATTCTGATGGAGAGACGTTGAACAAGCTTCTGTAGACTCGAAAACGAAGAAGAGGCGCTGAAGAAGTTATGCAAGACCTTCTTCGGTTAAAAGAAACATTGCAGAAGCCTTTGGGGACTTGCAGACGAAGAAGAGGAGTTGAGAAGTGATGTAGGATGTTCTTCGGTTAGAAAAGAAGCCTTTGGAGACTCGGAAACGAAGAATAGGATCTGAAGGAATGATGTAGGACCGTCTTCAGTTGGGTAGACGTTGAAAAAGTCTGTGGAGACTCATCTTCGGTTAAAGAAAACGGTGAAGAAGCATCTGGAGACTTAAAGACGAAGAAAAGGTGATGAAGGAGTGAGGTAGAACCTTCTTCGGTTTTAGGAGACGTTGAAGAAACCTTTGGAGACTTTACGACGAAGAAAAGGTGATGAAGAATTGACATAAGAATTTGTTCGGTTAAAGGAGACATTGAAGAAGTCTTTTGAGACTCGAATACGAAGAATAGAAGCTAAAGAAGTGACGTAGAACCATCTTCGGATAGAGAGGCTTATGGAGATTCTAAAACGAAGAGGAAGTGATAAAAGAATGACGTGAGACCATTTGCGGTTGGGGAAACGTTCAAGAAACCTCTGGAGGCGAAGACGAAGAACTCGATGAATACGAGAACTTGATGGTCATGTTACCAAAGTGATTTGATGCCTTTAAATTTCATCTACTGTTTTGCAGGGCAATTTTAGTATGGAATTGTAACAGAAATATGAATAAAGATGATTTGATTACCACAGTTCCCTTGTTTTCCACTCGGATTAATTCTGGACATCATACAAAAGTTATAGGTTTGAATTTTCTGGGTAACTCATCCATTGAAGAAGGGAATGTTCAACAAACAAACGAGGTAAGAATGTAAAAGAAAAATAACAGCCTTTCTCTGATCCTTTCTCATGGTGGTTTACAATTCATTAATGTTTTCGCTACTGTGTTCTCGTTTTTAGTCATAAAGTAGTTTTTCAGCTTTATTTTTGTCGGTCAAAGAGTACGTCGCAATTCATCCATTACACAGTGTGTTTTTTTTTTTTTCGTGACACACTGAATAATAGATTGCGACGTGCTCTTCGAGCACGTTAAAAATACACTTCGTTTAACGACGTGCTCGAAGAGCACGTCGCAATCCATTATACAGTGTCTTCCAAAAAGTTTTATACACATGACAAACAGTTTTGTTTTCCAAAAAACAATTATTTTTGATAAAAAGAACTGCATCACTTACAAAAACAAAACTTTTCTTATGTGTATACAAATTTTTGTTACTGTACAATAGATTGCGACGTGCTCTTCGAGCACATCGTTAGCAACAATATATGCATACACTTTGTTGTTAACGACGTGCTCTTCGAGCACGTCGCAATCTATTATCTAAAAATTTAAAATAGTGTACATCACAGACCAATTTCTTGTATTACAGATCAACTTCTTGTAGAATCATTGAGAATTCACTAGAGCGAGGAATTTAAAACTTTCAAAAATCTGACTAAATTTCGACTATTATTGTTATATTTATGTTCTGTTCTCATTAACAATTTGAACCTCTTAAGAAACCTATCTTTTTTCGGCTTGTATCTGTTGCATTATATTACTTGTTTTAGGTTCTAGAATATAAAACTATTTTAATTATATAAATTTCTACATTTCAGCTTTGCAGTATAGATGAAACTGGAGAAATCATCTTATGGACTATACTGTTAAAATATTCAGACCATAAGGAACAGGAACAAAATAGTAAAGTTACCTTAGTGAAAAATGCAAATATCTCATTAAACTCTCTATGTCCAGACATGGATTATCTACACTGCACAAACTTTTCTTCTAGTATTTTAAATCCTTATTATTTATTTATATCAACAAACTACGGCTCCATAATTCATTATGTTATCAAAGCAGGAATAAACAAAGTAAAACAATTTGTTACTGGTTAGTAAACATTTTTAATGTTTTCATTCGACACAAAACATATTTTAGCCCTATTGTAAAGTTCACCAGTACTTTTGAGATAATATCCAGCGCTACTATACATGGGAGTATGTTATTTAATTAGTGTGGAAAGTGGAAAATTATATATTTCCAGGAGTTTCGCTTTAGGATGAATTATTTATACATCAAATATTATTTTAAATTCAGTTAATAAATACAACAACAATGAATAATATCAAAAAAATCATCAAACAAGTTTTCATTGACAGATCATACTAGCTATTCCCCCGCGTTCTTCTTTTTCCTTTTGGTCTTATCCGAAGTACAGTGTACTTTGAGTTTTAAGGTGCTTCCATATTCAGGGATTTGAGATTTGATTACATGTAAATAAAATTTATTGAAGGCATATTCTTGATTGACAAAGAAATAATAAAAGCACTGGAGATTGTCTCAAAAGTTGAGTGGTTAGGGGTTGGGGCGTCCAATCTACAGTATTACTACTTAGTTACCTCTCTATGAGAAAAACTTATAATTTGTACCTAAAGCTTTTTATTATATTTGACATTTTAGGAGTAGAATCTATTCCAAATTCGTTGGTATGCTGTCCATTCTCATCGGAATATTTCCTCGGTGGTTATAAAAACGGAAACCTTAGTTTATTTGCGAGATCTTCAGAAAGACCTCTTATAATTTTGTCGGATAAAGATAAGCAAAATTCTGCCATAGAGTTCATACAATGGTCAAAAAATAAGTCTACTGTGATATATTCAAAGGACGATAGAAACGTCATAAATATTTGGGATCTTGATGAAAGTGATATGATGCCTGTTTATACCATTCCTTATAAAGAAGAAATAACCGCTATGGAAATGTTTTCTACAAGTAGAGATGCTGAAAATAAATGTCCTTTTATGGTAAGAAATGTATATTAATTTATTTTTAATTCTTTTGCTTATTTTGTACTTCTTTAACCAAGGATTTCTTTCGGAAATTCTACATATTTATTGTAACTATGGGGCTAATATTTAATTTTGTAAGATTGCATTTCAAGTTTTAACATCGACACATGCTTTATTCACTTTATCCATTAAAAATATACATTTTCTTTTATTATATATTTGTTTTATCTTTTAGCTGATTGGGACCAAGCAAGGTAATTTATATTTACATCAGCTAAACGAAGGAGAAGGCCAGTCTGCCAGTCAGTTACACAACCAAAGTATAAAAACGTTTTTCAATTATGTTAAAAGGTTGTAAAAAATATATATTATTATATCGTTAAACAGTTACAATAAAAAACTTTTTTGCTATTACTTGTAGTGTTTAAAAATTATCAATGCTTTATAAGAACATTGAAAGATATGTTTTAGCAGTTCTATTTGAGCAAAGCAAACGTTGCATTTTATACTTTGTGAAATAAAAAAAAATATGTAGAACAAAAAATAGACTTTACATTTTCGACAATAAGTCAAAAACGAATTGATATATCAAAGAACTGATTTCATTTTTGGAATCTATCTGTATGCATATTTTAAACTAAATCAAAATTCAAAAATTCCTCCTGCCACTTTAAAAAAAAACATTTTAGGTCTACAATGTTCTTGAAAATGTAATTACATTTAAAACAAGTATTAGAAATTAAAAATTAAAAAAAAAACGACTTCAAAAACGTGCAGATGCCATCACCACATCTTAACCAAATTTATATGGGACCACCCCTAAGATACCCCCTTACTAACAAAAAAGAATCATATAAATAGGACAAGGTAGTAAAGCATTATCGCTAAACATACAAAAATGAAAAGTTTGAGGATTTTCTCATGAACCCAATTATTAGATTTTGACCAAATTTATATGGGACCACCCCTGAAGTACCCCCTTTCTAACAAAAAAGAATCATTGAATAGGACACCGTGTTAAAAAATTATCGCTGAACATACATAAAAAAAAATATTGCGACGAATTGAGAACCTCCTCCTTTTTTGAAGTCGATTTATAAAGCAAAATAAATTTTTGTAGTGTAGTCCGCTGCTTTCTATCTATAACCGTTAAAATTTATTTTCGTTTTTCTTAGCTAATAATGTTTGAATCGCCCTGTGTATTTCACTAATTATAGAACAAAACTATTAGATTTGAATTCTTCTGACCGCTCATTTTTATCCACAGCCGTTGAAAAGTTATTCAAGTTTAAAATAATATAATTAAAAATTCCTTTTGCCACTTGACTATATGACGCATTTATTACAGAGTTTAGGTCTTTTCCTTTGCATCGAAAGTGTAGCACTGAGCTACACCCAGTGTTGCCAGAATATATTTTTGTAATGTACCAGATTTATTTAAAAAATGTACCAGATTTCATAAAAATGTACTAGATTCTATAAAATTACCAGATTTTTCTAATTATGAAGTATGGTCATTAAAGAGCAAAAAAAGGTTTATAGAGAACACGAACACAACAATTTTAAACAATATTTTATCTCTCGACAAATTTCTAACAGTATTTTATCTCTCGAGCAGTTTTTGAATAAGATTTTAATACCTTTTGATACTCTTTTATCTCTCGAACAGTTTTTAAATCTTTTTTTATCTCTTGAGCTATTTTGAAACAATATTTTATCTCTCGATAAATTTCTAACAGTATTCTATCTCTCGAGCAATTTTTAACAACTTTTTTTTATCCCTCGAGCAATGTTTGTACAATTTTTTTTTTAATTTTTAACACTATTTAATCACTCGAGCAATTTTAAACAGTTTTTCATCTTTCAAGCAAACAATATTTGATCTCTCGTGCAATTTTTGAGCAAAATTTTAACAATTTCTAACACTATTTTATCTCTCGAGCAATTTTTGAAAAAGACTTTACACCTTTTGATAATATTTTATCTCTTGAACAGTTTTTAAACAATTTTAAACAAATTTCTAACAGTATTTTATCTCTCGAGAAATTTTTGTACAAATTTTTTTGTACAAGTTTTAACACTTTTTAATCACTCAAGCAATTTTTAACAGCTTTTTTACTTTTCAAGCTATTTTTGAACAATATTTGATCTCTCGTGCAATTTTTGAGCAAAATTTTAATAATTTCTAACACTATTTAATCTCTCGAGCAATATTTATTAACATTTTTTATCTTTCTAACAATTTTTAAACAATGTTTTATCGCTCGAGAAATGTTTAACAGTATTTTTTAATTCTCGAGTAATTTTTGAATAAGATTTTAATAACTTATGATACTATTTTACCTCTCGAACAGTTTTTAAACCTTTTTTTATCTCTTGAGCTATATTTAAACAATATTTTATCTTTCGATAAATTTCTAACATTTATTCTATCTCTCGAGCAATTTTTAACAACTTCTTTATCTCTTTAGCAAACTGCACAATATTTTAACTCTTGACAAATTTATAAAAATATATTAACTCTCGATAAATGTTTAACAATGTTTTATATCTCGAGCAATGTTTGTACAATATATTATCCCTTGAGCATTTTCTAATAGTATTTTATCGTTCGAGGAATTTTTAAACAATGTTTTATCGCTCGAGAAATGTTTAACAGTATTTTTTAATTCTCGAGTTATTTTTCAATAAGATTTTAATAACTTATGATACTATTTTACCTCTCGAACAATTTTTAAACCTTTTTTTATCTCTTGAGATATATTTAAACAATATTTTATCTTTCGATAAATTTCTAACATTATTCTATCTCTCGAGCAAGTTTTAACAACTTTTTTATCTCTTTTAACTCTCGATAAATTTATAAAAATATTTTAACTCTCGATAAAGTTTTGACAATGTTTTATATCTCGAGCAATTTTTGTAAAATTATCTCTCGAGCATTTTTTAATAGTACTTTATCGTTCGAGGAATTGTTAAACAATGTTTTATCTCTCGAGAAATTTCTAATAGTAGGTATGTCTTGAATCAATTTTGAACAATATTTTATTTCTCAGCAAATTTTTCAATAGTATTTTATCCGTCAAGCAATTTTTGAACAAGGGTTTAACATTTTGTAATACTATTTTACCTCGAGCAATTTTTGAACACGATTTTAACAATTTATAATACTATTTAATCTCTGGAAAAATTATTAAATATTTTTATCTCTCATTAAATTTCTAACAGTATTTTTATCCCTAGAGCAATTTTTGAACAATATTTTACCTCTCAAGCAATTTCTAATACTATTTTATACTTCGACCATTTTTTAACACCCTTTTTTACCTCTCAAGCCATTTTTGAACAATATTTAATCTCTCGTGTAATTTTTAAACAATGTTTTATCTCTCGAGAAATGTCTACTATTTTATCTCTGAAGTAATTTTTAACAACTATTTTAATTTCTCTTGCAATTTTTGACCAATATATTTTACACTTCAAATGGAAACATACGCTGAAAAAGTACTAGATATTGTTTCGAGTGTACTAGAGTACAAGATTCTCAGAGAATGTACTAGATCTAGTACAATTGTACTAGACTGGCAACACTGGCTACACCACTTCTGAAAATATCGTTCCGTTTATACAAATTGTATGGATAGAACGATATTTTCAGAAGTGACGTAGCTCAGCGCTACACTTTCGATGCAAAGGAAAAGACCTATATTTACCTTCTCCGCCATTTTATGACCTTGTTAATTTGGACTAAAACAGAACTCTAGTATTAACTACTTGTTTTAGCAACTCGTCGATAGATATCGCCATTACTATAGAAATCTACTATTATTTTTGTCAATTTTTCATAGATGTTGTTACTAGCGTAAATAAAGAGAACTCATTCTTTTGATTAATCACAGATAGATGGCGCACATCAACTTCTATTTCCGCCATTTTATGTCTGAATATGAATAATATTGCACTTTTAATTTTTCTTCTAACTATACTTTGAATTACTTTGCAAATTCGCACAAATGTGGAGCAGAACAGATAGATTATAGAGAAATTACTTAATTTAAAATGTTTTTCGACGTTAATTGCGTTCTTGAAGAGTTGAAATATTTGTTCTGCATGGAAATCAGACTGAAATTTCTCAAGATGCATCTAAGACACCAGCCAGATATTTGAAATGCCTTATCGTGTAAATTTATTTGGTTTGCTTCACAGACCATACCTTTAATTATTCTGCTCTACATTCCCAGACAGCACACCAAATCCTTTGGATATCTACTGAACATCCCAATATCCACTGAATGTTCAGTCCATGTTTGATATCCATTTTATATCCATGAGATGTAATTTATAGACCTGCAAATGTCCATAAATAATAGTAATTATATAGCAAATTATTAAAAAATTACGCCATTGTGGCTAATAGTACCGTTCAGATATTTAAAATTAATTTTTTTAAGGTGTATTCAATATCTCATGGACATCCACTAAATATATCAAAGTCTAGGCGCGAATGCAAACCATCGTGGATATCCACTAGTTGTTATTTTATTTTGCTTACTAAGTATAGATGGCGATACCACTTACGCATCTACTCATGCTCGACCCGCCGTAATTGAGTTCGATCGAAATTTTTGTACTAATCAGACTCCATTAGAGACTGGAGTCGAGAATTTCCATTTATTGCTGAAGAGTCCTAATAAGGATGACTTTCTCCTTAGTGGGTAAAATCAAAGGCATAGTGTTGAAAATATTTTGAGTGTTGAAAATATTTTTTATCTCTGCTATTTTCTTTCGACGTTATTCAATAATCATTGGTTACTTATGAACCTCTTCTAAAGATACCCATAAAATATTTTACTGAATATCTTCTATATCCTGGGATATAGACGGACATTTGGTTGGATATCCATATTGGATATATATTGAATATCCACAAAATATATTCTGTGAATATCTCTGCGATTTCTTGTATTTTCTGGAAGATACCCATTAGATATTTTGCTGGATATCCATTAGGATATCTTCTATATTCTGGATATAGACGGACATTTGGATATCCATATTAGATCCACGGAATATTTCTGATATCCTGTGGATATATTGGATATCCACAAAAGATATTCTGTGGATATATCTGGGATTTGGTGTGTTGTCTGGGTTTGTATAAATATACAAAGTATTTCGATAAGAAAAACTAAAAAAAAGTAATGGTACAATAGAACTAAAACGGTGAAGCCATATTCTATCCAAAATGTGGATATAGATTGCCATTATCTGCAAGTTACCAAAAGAAGTAGTTAAATAGTAAATTTGTGTGTTTGCGCTGGATTCTTCATCTACGGAGAAGTCGACAAAACAAGGAGTGGTTGATAGCAGATTTCTATAAAAATTTGCTAGAGGCTTATCTATCGACGAATTGTCAAAATTAGTTAATAATTACTAAATAGATTGGTCCAAAATTTATCTTTTTTACAAAATTATCCTAAAATTACCTTTTTTGAGCAGAATTACCCGCTTTTCTCCAAATGTTTCATTTTCTTCTCAAAAATATTTAAAAAATTAACCGTTTTTGTTCAAAATTACTCAATTTTCTCCAAAAATGTCCAGAATTACCACCATTGTTTGTTCAAAATGCCCTTGTCCAAAATTACCTATCTATCTGAATTAGGGCGTGGTTCTACCCTGACATTCCAAAATCACTATTTTACTTTTTATTATTTTATAGTTCATGGTTAGAGCGTCACCATATTATCATCTTCAAATATAAATTGCTTTTATTTGCTAAAAGAAATATGTATATAGTTTTAAAAAACTATTTTCATATGTTAACAATAAGATAAATTATCTTTAAGAGTATACATGTAACTAACATTAAGTCCACTTCAAAACCGCGTGTGTTTAAAATGTATTTAAAGTGATTTTAAACGGGTCTTCACAGCAGCTTTAAAATCACTTGTTCAAGGTAATATAGTTTTATGGTGGTTTTTATTTTTGGTTTTATTGACCTCTTTCAGAGTGGGCCCTTTTATGCTGAAGGCGTATTTATCACAACCTTTTAAAACTAATTGGTTTTAATTGCAGTTTTATTTTAGTTTTAAAGCTCCTTCAAGTACTGAATAAAACCGTTCGGTGCTACTTGGGTATCCACCAAATATAATATATATATATATATATATTTTTTTGTTTCTTTAACTGGAACCTAAATATGAGAAATAAAACAATAAAAAACATCTAATTGTATAAATATATTGATTACATACAGTTACATAGTCTGTTCTAATTTATAAACGTCATGATAAGCATTTCTAATAAGCGCATACGGGAAACACGATTCCAACAAATCCATAGTAAGAAACGGCGATTCTTGTACAATTTGATCCAACAACAAATAAATAGATTCGCGATTCTTAATCGCTTCCTTATCAGCTTCTTGACCCAACCTTAATAAACTAGACGAAGCTAATGCTAAGAACTCTTTCATACGATCCTCGATATCCCCTTGTCCGCAAATAGTAAACAGAGCTCCGAATATATGATTAACCGCTAACGACATGCAATGAATATTATTCGTATGCCCCTCTAAAGAAGCCCTGTAAAACGACTGTTCAGATTTAGCCAATTTCGGAATAGAAACCGCTACGAAAACCATTAAAAGACACACCAAAAGATGCTCATTATCCCCTTCGACTTCTTGTTTCTGTAATTTCAACGCCGATATCAAAGTTGGATCGACTCTACAAGAAATACCGGCAGCCGAAGTCATTTCGCTTACAATCTTCATCGGATCGCCGCTAGGTAAATGATGCTTGAAATCCAAAATCGAACTCACTAAAAACGGAATTCTCTGCTCCAACACATCAGTCAAACAAGATTGCGATAACTGTCTGAAACTCAAAATAACCCCAACGATCGTCATTCTTTGAAGTACGTTATCGACGTTTGTTAATTTTTTGAATTGCTCTTTCATAACTTCGGGTTTATCGAAATTTGTACGTAACGAAAGAAGAACGTCTTTATTCATTTCGGCTAGTTTTTTTAATTCGATAACTTGGCTGGCGATGTGCCACATTAAAGTTTCGCTTAACTGCTTCATTCCGTACGGGCCAATTAGTTCTGCTAACGCTCTTAATTCGTTAACATCCGAGTATTCTTCTGGATTGAACGGAATCGAACCTTCTACAGTTAAACTTACAAACGAACGTTGATTCATTGAAAATATTATATTTCCAGCGCTAACTCTTCTTAGTAACACTTCGGAATACCATTGAGTATAAATCGAAGCGACAGTTTTTTCACCATGACTGTCCATCGGTTGCGTTTGTTGTAATAAACAATTATTAAAAACTCTCGTTATATCAATATGAACGTAATTTTCAACAGTTTGTAATACATTCATATACGATCTCACGCATACCAACAATTCAGATGGTTTAGCAATTTCATTCGTATCCGAATTATACATCACCATACCAACAAGAGCTTTCGAAAATCGATTTTCCAAATGCTGATGTAAATATTCTCTAGGAGCAAAAGTGTATTCCCAAACGTTAATATTCGAAAAATAATTTATAGCGTAACATAATTCAGTTAAAGCCATGTGTAATTTATCCATCGTTGTTAAATTTTCTCTCGTTTTTCGATAACTCTCTTTCCCGGGCTTTTCAAATTCTATCACATTCTTTTTATTCTTCTCTTTCTTCTTTCTATTAATCTGTTGCGAAATCAAGTGAGCGCAATTTTTTGGAAGCAATTTATCGCTCATTTTGCACTGCGCATCACAAATCGCTGTTATAATATTTTTAGCTTCTTTAGCCATTTCATCTAGAAACATATTTACAACAGACAAACTTCGTTCTCTAATATGATGCCGTTCTTCGGGACAAAGTTCGTGGGTACAATGCTGGAAATGGCTGCAAATCGATGGGAAAGCAACTATGAATCTATTTTGCGCCGGAAATTCCAAACACATATGAAATTGATCTTCGAAAATACGATTATAAAAACAAAATATCGATAAATCCGAAGTTTCTCTCAACATTTCATCTAAGTTATCAACCATTTTTGTGTGGAACTGAATCGAATCGAGAAGCTGTGCTAACGTTCTAACATCTTTTAACCTCAATGGAGATTTCACAGTCGAAGTAAAAGCTTGCAATCTGAACCAATCGAGCCGAAATGCGAAAAAATTAAAAGTTTCATTCTCTTCGACTTGCTTAACAGACACACTCGCAATCGTATTACACAAAGAAGATAATATAGTACCCTCATCTTCAGGACAAGTCTGTAATTTCTGCATTAAATCTTTGAGAGTAATAGCATCCCAATGCGAAAGATATTGGACGTAATACCTCTGCATCACTTGACTGTACTTCCTCACTAACACCCTCAAATCCTCCATGTGGAATAGTAATTCAGGTAAATGTCGATCGACCAAATCTTCTGTTGATTTTCCTTTAACTTTGTGAATCGGAGGGTTATCGTTATGCCTGAGCAACCATAAAACTTCGTCTCTTCCATAGGACAAACCCATGAATATCATGAGCGCCTTCGGACCCAGCAAACCAGGTTGGTCCATTAAAATCAAACCTAAAAAAATGATTATTTGTTTAACCCTTTCTATTCCGGGCCTTAAATTACATGTTGGTCCCTCAGTCCCAGAGGGTTTTTCATGCTACAATATGAGAACAAATATATACGGCAATGGGTCCGCATGACCTGTCTTAGGTGCCAACATTTTGCGGCTTTGGGACCAATAATCTAACATTTTCGTACATATTTCTACGGCATTGGGACCCCAACGGGTCTAAAATTTTATAAGTAGCGCATATTTTCGGCTTTGGTGAATTGAGGCCATTCCACCTTGAACGTATATATACGGCGGCTGGGACTACATACCCACTTTTTAAAAAACATATATGCGGCGTTGGGACAGAAAGGGTTAACTAGGCAGAGAAGTAACACATTTATTACTACGGGGATGAAACTACCCAAGGCAGCAAATCTGTTTCTCTGTCATGTGAAACTTTTTGCAAAAGGTGCAGTTTACTCTTTTAAATTAATAGATTTGTACTTCATATATTGAAGTTAACCCTAATTTAATGTTTAATGCTTGTTAAAGAGTATATACGGATCTAACGTGTTTTTTTTTATTTAGAAATGAATGAAGCTTCCAAAAAAATTGTCTGGGGCCTTAAAAAAATTGGAGGATCTATAACAAAAATTCTTAAACCTACCTCCATTAAATGTAGAGTATGTTGAAGAGATATTAGTTAAAAATAATCAGCAACCATGAAGTACAGAAGTGAATAAAATGTTAAACAATTATAGAATATTTTAAGTATCGATTTAGAACGAAATTAAATTTTAAGGGAAACACAAAAAAAGTGAAAATTTGGAAAAATTTCCATTATATAAAAACGAATAGAAATAAAAAACTGATACTATAGAGAAAACCATCTCTAAAAGGAAAAAGATTCAAGAGAAACCCAACTATCGATGAAAAGACTTAAGAGAAAACTACCTCTCAAGGAAAGACTCGAAAAAACCCAACTCTCGAGGAAAACAGACTCGAGACAAAACCGCCTCTCGAGAAAAAAAACTTGAGAGAAAATCCCCTCTCGAGGAAAAAGACTCGAGAGAAAATCACCTCTCGAGAAAAAATCGAGAGAAAATCACCTCTCGAGGAAAAATACTCGAGAGAAAATCACCTCTCGAGGAAAAATACTCGAGAAAATCACCTCTCGAGGAAAAAGAATAGAGAGAAGAAAACCACTTCTAAGAAAAGACACAAAAACCTAACTCTCAAGGAAAAAATCACCTCTCAACGAAATAAAACTCGAGAAAAATACCATTAAACTCAAGGAAAAGGGACTTGAGAGAAAAGCACCACTTGATGAAAAAATACTCATGACAAACCATACTCTTGATGAAAAAAGAACCAACACTCAAGAAAAAAAACTCAAAAACCACCTTTCGAGGAAAAAAGACTCAAGAAAAACCCATCTCTAGAGGAAAATAACATTAATCTCAAGGATAAAAGACTTGAGAGAAACACCTCTCGATGAAAAAAGGCTCAAGAGTAAACCCAACTCTTAATGAAAAAGACCCAACTCTCGAGAAAACCACCTCATGATAAAAAAAGACGTAAAAAAAATTACCTCTCAAGAAGACTCAAAAGAAACCCCTCTTAAAAAAAAAAAACATCAATCCGATGAAAACGACTCGAGAAAACCACCTCTACAGAAAAAAAACTCAAAAATTCAACTCTCAAGGAAAAAACTCAAGAGAAAACCATCTCTCTATGAGAAAGGCCCCAAGAAAAATCCACCTTTCGAGGACAATAACATTAATCTCAAGAGAAACCCGACTCTTTATGAAGAAAGACCCAACTCTCGAGAAAAAGAGACTCGATAAAACCACCTCTGAGGAAAAAAGACAAGAGAAACCCGACTCTTGATGAAAAAAGACCCAACTCTCGAGAAAAAGAGACTCGATAAAACCACCTCTGAGGAAAAAAGACAAGATAAACCCACTTCTCGAGGAAAAAAACGAGAGAAAACCACCTCTTGATAAAAAAGAGCCAAGAGAACCCCACCTCTCAAAAAAAAAAACGTTTATCTTGCAGAAAAAAGACTAGAAAACCACCTCTACAACAAAAGACTCAAAAAACCCAACTCTCAAGGAAAAAACTTAAGAGAAAACCACCTCTCGAGGAAAAAAGACTCGAAAGAAACCCACCTCTCAAGAAGAAGAAAAGAGATGTTACTCTCAAGAAAAAAAGACTCGAAAAACCATTAAAATAGGCTAATTCTTTTCATGAAGTAATAATCATTAAAACAGTTAACTTTTTAGTTATATTTCAGGTTCAGTAATCAGTACCTTTCCTAAATCGACGTTCTTCCTACCCTACTTCCTATCGATGCTCCTTGTCACGACCTTCCACGTCCCGATGATACAGTTTTTCTTCCCGACGCTCAACGTCCCTCCACCCTACTTCCCTACCCTTTTACGTCCCGATGAGCTATCTCCCGAACTTTGTCACTTCCCGTCACCCTACTTCCTTACCTTTCTACGTCCCGCCGAATACCCAAGCATCTTCCAGGCGGAAATTCACGCCATCGAGAAGTGTATCCAGTTTAACATCGAGAGAAACTATCATAGACAAGAGATTATCATCATGTCCGATAGTCAAGCAGCCATCAAAGCGTTGAGTTCTTACGTAATCAGCTCAAAAATGGTATAGAGATGCCTAGAACAATTGAATGAGCTAGGCGAGAAAAATAGAGTTACTCTCACTTGGGTCCCGGGACATAACGGGGTACAGGGTAACGAGATTGCAGATAGTCTTGCAAGGAAAGGGGCTCAAACACCCTTTGTAGGACCTGAGCCGTTATGCGGTATCAGCAGTAACATATAACCAAAAAAGATCGGAAGCCTGCATCTGCCTGAGCAAGAACAGGCTACGTATTGTAACAGGGATCCTTACCGGGCACTGCCGACTAAAAGGACACCTAAGTAAACTGAGAGTAGTAGAGGATAGTGAGTGCAGATTCTGTGAGGAGGAGGACGAAACCTCCATTCACATCCTAACTGAATGTATAGCACTCCAGAATCCAAGGGCACTATATCTAGGAGGATATCAAATAGAAGAGGGAGACTTACCTAACTTGAAGCCACTTCAAATCCTACACTTCCTTGAGAAAATAGGATTGGAAGGGTCGCTATAGGCATTGAGACATTTCCTTAGTGCAGTGGCGACAGAAGGGGGCACAATAGATCTTTTAGGTCGCAGTGTATTAACACCCCATTATCAACATAACATAACGTCCCGCCGCCCTACTTTTCTATTTTTCTACGTCCCGCCATCTTATTTCTCTTTATCTTTTTACGTCCCGTTGTTCTCTATCCCGACGACGTATCTCCCGAACGCTATCAAGTCCCGACGATGAACATCCCACGGCTCTACTTCCCGACGCTTGACGCCCGTAAACCTATCTAAATATTTCCTTCATAATACCCGTAACGACATCCTTCGTCGCGCAGCACCACTTAAGTATTTCCTACCTTATATCCGTCTCTACGCAGTACCGTAATAAATACTTTCCTCCTCGCCACGACGCTCAACGCTGCGACGTACCCAAAATTGACGCCGTTACAACGAGATAAAATTAGTACATAATGTCTAGTCTAGACAAACCTAATGTCTGCATATTCAATAGTGAATCGAAAAGGTTAAAGCAACTCTCTTTGAGATAACACACAAGTTTCGTTTGAATAAGGGCTGACATTTGCTTCAAAATATTATGTAACCTAATAAATCAGATAGTCTTCATTTACTCTGAAAGACAGTTAAGTTAAACATCTGTTTTTCGATGGATGACTTTCAATAGAAATTAAAAAAATCAATACATTAGAAATATACAGGTACGTATCGTTTTGGGTTATTTATGCACACAAATCCTCGCAAACATAAATGGTCAAATTTAATAGTAAGTTAACCAACTGGTGAATTAGCACTGTTTGTTGACTCAATGGGGACACCTATACTAGCCACCCATTGTACTAGGATAGAACCATAAAATATATGTGAATATCAAAAGAGTAAGTTAACCAACTGGCGAATTGGTGCTGTTCCTCTATACTCATCAAAATAAATACCTAAGAAAATACAATCCAGTGTATATAAGGATAGAATCAAGCTAAATAAAATATATCTTGATATCAAATGAATGTGGTTCACGCTTCAGTAGAACTCAAGTGAGATCTCCATAAAAAGTAATAATTGTAATATACTTTGTAAATTATTTCGTTACATTATGAAATGTTAAAAGGGTTTAAATATGAATTTTGTATGGTTTTACCAATTATTTACTAGACTATCACTACTACTACTAGAGGAAAAAGGCTAAATACAGTAAGTATAGAATTTAAAATAAAACAAAATTGAGAGGTAAATAATAAAATTTCAGATTAAAAAAAAAATCAAAGGGGTATGTATGGGGTGGGCAGTTACAAAACTATATAAAGTATTCTTAACATTGATTTAGTGCATTAATAATTATTTTGCTCACTAGTGGGTAAAGTTATGTTAACAATCACAAAAATTAATATTGAATCCTTTTGGTTTATTACAAATAATAAAATTTTTAGGCACAATGTGGGGACTGAAAAATATATGAATAAAAATGGGGGGTTAAGGGGGGTCGTCTGTTAAATTATGAAGAGTTTAATATAGAATGACAAGCATTATATATCATTCTAGTTGTTGTTATTATTAGTGTCAATATTTAAAATATTTTAATATTTGTGTCATTTTTCAAATATTTATAATCATAATGTATATTTGTCCATATTTATTTTAACTTAAGACATATTTATACACTTTGCACCTATTTAAGTAATTTGTGACTAAACATATGATTTATATAAATAAAAAAAAAAATTATAAATAGTAAATTACTTTACTTACCTAATTCTTTAAGAGCTGTCCTCAAAAACTTCCTACGTTCGCGATGGTTGTATCCAGCTTTCTGAACTGCATGGGTATAAGTGTCTTTTACTTCAGAAATTCTTTTACTATAACCCTTCAAACCATCAAAAAATGATATTACATATTGGTGTATATAAATAACTTCATCTCTAAATAAAGGAATGACCCAAGATGACTCTAAAGCATTTAAAAACGCTTTATTAAAGTTATCCTGTTGTAATAATAATACATTGTGTATCAGAAGTATGCCAAAAATGATCCACCTCTCCATCACGTCGAGAGATAAAAATTCACAGGACATTTTATCAGAAATAACAGGTTTTAACAGCTGTGAAGGGTTTCCAACAATTGTTAACTTTTGCTCAGATCGCCACTTATCAGCTGATACATTTCTTGGAATAAAAACTGGAATCAAAGATTGAAGAGCCTCTGCTAATAACCTACCATGCGGTACAAACTCTTCTGATAATTTCTTAAATGGAACATCATAATCTGTTATCATTGTTCCTAATCTAGGGAAATTCTGATCCTGCGATCCATGTACTATTTCATAAGCGGCGTTAAACAATCCCAAAACTGCTTTGCGATCTTCTACTTTAGATAGAAGTACCATAAGGGAAACGTAAGTGGTGACAAGATCTAAATAATGTTTGGTCAGCTCGAAATTTATAGTAATATCCAAATCAATTTGATAGGCATCTAAAGTTGTTAAAAGTTCACAAACATGATCTTTAAAATCCAATAAATCCACAAACGTGTAATAATATAATGATAATGATTTAATAATTTCGTTTTTTAAATTATGAATGGGCGTAAGGCTTTTAACATCAATATTAGGAAATCTTCTTACAATGTTTTTAATAGAGGATTCCAAATTTTTATCAGACAAGAATCCAGGTTTAGATTTCGCATCTCCACATGCTTTTTTTATGTTATATATCCTTGTTAGCATTCCAACTCCTCGATCATTTAGAATGATTAATTTTTCGGCTATTTTCCGTTCTGTCTGAATCATTTGACGAGACATCCTAAAAATAAATTAAAAGTAATAAAGAATAATTACTAATTAATTAGATATTTACCTGAATCATTCAATTTTTATTTCTTAAATTAAAATATCACTGTTTATTACATTAAATTACAGAAAGTTTATTTTTATTTACTTTTTTCTTATTGACTATTGACATTTAAAACAAAATGGAAGTTGTATTTGTGTCAAAATCAGGGCGGTTCTCCAAGGTAATAAAAGATAGGTTGGCTCATTGCTCAAATAAGCGACTAACAAAAGAAAACGATTCCCGTATTGTAGGGGTCCATACTTTTAATATACGAAGGGCGTACTAAATCTAATTTAATTTTGCTGCTGGACCGTATTTAGGGCCCTATTCAGTAATTTATCGTTTATGGACGACATTGTTAAACTAACGACAATCCAACTAACAACTTTTATAACGTTAATTTTTAAAACTCTTCAATAAGGGTCGATTCCATTAGTAATCTATGATTCCACCGTTGTGTTAAACGAAGTTTAAACTGACATTTTTACATTAACAATGTCATTTTAATCTCCGTTTAACACAACGGTGGAATCGGACCTAAGAAAGTAAGTTGGTATTATAATTTAGTGTTTTGTGATTTAAAGAACGTACGTTGATGATTATATTTGACATTTTTTGAAACTTAAAAATTCTATCAGTATAATCATCTTGTTCTTCACAATATACCTATTTGTTCTTAAGGCTGTATGTCACGATACTAAATTAAGTACTAAATTTAGAACTAAATTAATGCATTTTTTAAGTACTAAAAAAATTCACGTTGCAAACAGCAAATTTAGTACTAAATTTAGTGCTAAAAAAAGTCATTAATTAAGTACTAAAAGTGCGCCGAAATGTTGCGCAGAAGTTTTTCATAGAAAAAGTTGACACGACGGTATTTTCTGTACCCTTTTATTTTTAATTAGCGACAATTTTACATTATCGCCTTGAATAAAGTTCGCTTGTTTGATTTTGTAGGTTTTATTGTGTTTTTTTCGTGGTTTTTATGCTGTATTTGGTTGTTGTCAAGTCAACTAGTGTCAAATTGATAATAAAAACACCATTTACTTGTCTGTTTTACACATATTTCATTTCTCTGTTAATTTTACGTATTAATACGTCAATGCGCGTGCGCCTATAGTAAATTTAGTACTAAAAATTGGTATCGTTGCAAACGGAAAAAAAAATTTTTAGTTCTAAATTTAGTACTAAATTAATAACTTAATTTAGTGCTAAATTTAGTACTTAATTTAGTATCGTGACATACAGCCTTTAAAATACAACACGATCAGAGAAGTGTACTGATGCGAGATGCGTACAAGAAGAAAAGAAAACAACTACCCAGATAGCACACATAGTCCAATGGACGTCCATTTTAGATCCATTTGAGGGCCATTCTACCCCAGAACGTCCATATCCGTATTCGGACATCCAGTGTACGTCCGTTTACGATCATTAATTTGACAGATGTATTTCGATGTCCATAGGACGTCTGTTTTTGGACTTAATTTTAAGTTTAGTATTATTTTGACGTCCAGTGGACGTCCATCTTAGGTCATTATTTATTTAACCTACCAGATAATACCCATTTATATACACTTTCTTTTTTTTAATAAAATTTGAAATCTTATTTTATTAATATACCGTATCTAGTAAGAATTTTTCAAGTGGCTCCGTGGTCGAGGTCATCGCCTAGCGCTTGAATGCCCAGAAAGACAATGGACCTGTCGTGAGTTCGATACCTGCTCTGGTCAAGTGATTTTTAATTATAAAAAAAATTGTGTATAGCGGGTTGCGAAAATAATAAATAAATTATTAATAATATAAAATAGTGTGTGGTGAGTTGCGGTTGCGTAAAAAAATTAGGGATGTTGGTCTCAAGGGTATATAATCCAGGAATGGAAAAATAGAGCTAGGTATTCCAAAAGAATATATAAAACAACTCCAGATCAGTGCGATATCAGCACATGCGCATCAGAACGTCTCTTCTCGTTTGTGCTATTTTGTTTGTGGTTGGGATTTTGAGTTGCTTGGATTTCTATTTCTTTCAATTGAAATGAATAATTTTTGTTTTTATCTTGTTGTACATTTTTTTAAGTAAAATACGTACTTATTTTTAATAAAAATAAAAATTTTAAAGTTTCAAAATTATACATTCATAGATCGTTCGAGGCAGCTAAATAAATGTTATTTTGTTGTATTTTAAATAATGTTTAAAATACCAATTCGCCAAACATATGTTTGGTTTGTCAATTCCATTGCATTTTGCGTTTCAACAAGTACAAGTCGCTAATTAAACAATAAACGGACTGACATGCGTAGTAATTAGTTTGCGAATGCATCCATGTACGAGTCAAAGAAACATCAGAAAGGAGCTGTTGGAACAAACCTATAATGTAGAATCATCAGTACAAAGGAATGTAAGCGACTCCCGTAATATGTGAAGGGTGCAAGTTAGCCCATGGCATTTAGGCCTCATTAGGCTCATTGTACATCCTTCTAAGTTGATATAGACACTTCCTAGCTCGTCGGCCAGCGTACAAACTTGATTTAGTTGATCATAATATTCTCTTATAACGGCCGGTGTTAGCCAATATACTCGCCGAGAGAGCATCGATGGTATCATCTTCTTGTTCGCACACCCTGCAGAGTGCGGATTCTGACAGTCCCATATACACTACAAATGCTTCCGTATTTGGCAATGGTTAGATTCGTAGTCAAGTATTTTTGTTATTGTAGTATTGTCTTATCCCATCTTTCCTCGAAGTTTACAAGAGAATGTTCTTTAAGTACATAGGTTTGTCACTACCGATGGAAGGCCAGTTTCAGAAAATATTTAGTTGATAAGCTGCCTTATTCTTGCTTAAGTTAATCAGCAAGACAGTTGCATTAACCAAAGTTTTGTAACATTCTAGTACTAATACTGCAAAGATGGCAAAATTGTTTTACATTTTAGGCAAATGTAACTCTTCATTTTGTAAATCCCTCGTAGTTTGTGATTGCATTCCTCCGGTTAGTCGCTCAGGTACAATTCCATTTTAATTGACGTTACTTTTAAATCGTTTTCACTATTTGTTTTTATACATGAATTTATCACGTATTTTAAAGTCAGGCACATTTTATTTATGATAGAAAAATTAAAAAAAATTATATTTATAATAAAAAATCACTGCTCCAAAAGGGTAATCGCTAAAATTTGACTCACGATCTCCTGGTAGTTGTCAGTTGTCATTGTCAAAATTTTTGTCAGTATTCACCAGTGATTCACTTTCACTACAATATTCACTAATTATGTTCAGCAAACTATAAATAATGGATGAAAATAGTTTTAATACTTCGTATTAAAATAATGAGTTAAGGCATCGCTTTTAAAATGGTTGAACCTATCTTTGACTACCAATTTCGATTAATATTAATAGGTGACAGTACAGTAGGAAAAAGTTCATTATTAAAATATTTTACTGATGGCAAGTTTGCAGAGGTAGGTATAAAAACAATAATAAATATATAATTTTCTAATCATATACAATTGTAGGTATCCGATCCAACAGTTGGAGTAGATTTTTTCGCGAGATTAATAGAAGTAAAGGACGGCACTAGAATCAAATTGCAATTATGGGATACAGCTGGACAAGAGAGATTTAGATCAATAACGAAATCTTATTACAGAAATTCGGTAGGCGCTTTATTAGTTTACGATATATGCAATAGAACAAGTTTTGATAACATACCTTTATGGATGTCAGAAGCCAAAAGACATATCGAGCCGCATCGACCTGTCTTCTGCCTTGTGGGTTGTAAATTAGATTTAGTAAATAACGGTGGGAAACGAGAAGTTTCCAAAGAAGAAGCCAAAGCTTTCGCCGATCAACATTCGCTATTTCACGTAGAAACGTCCGCTAAAAATGGGTTGAATGTTGAAGAAGCATTTCGGTGTGTTACTCAAGAAGTTTTTAATAGAATACAATCTGGGGAATATAAAGTGGAAGATGGTTGGGATGGTATAAAAACCGGATTTTCACGACCTAGTGGTTTGAATTTTAATTTAGTAGAAGCTGAGCCAGCTAAATTATCCTGTTGTTAATTATTTGTTTTAGTGCTGTAAATATTAAGAATTAAACTGTCAATCTTGTATAAGTATTTAGGTCTGTTTTTTATTTCAAATGTAGTTAACCTTCCTAATTTCCAAATCCTTTCCTTTTTAAGATTTCAAAAAATAGGAGAAGGTTCTCAAGTCTGAATATTTATGTATGTTCATCACTAATTCTTTAACCACTATGTCCGATTTATACGATTCTTTTTATTAGAAATGGCATACCTCAGATGTGGCTCCATATAATATTGAATTCATGAGAAAATCATCACTCTTCATTTTTGGAATGTTTTTTTTATTACAACTTGTTCTTTATCCTGATTAAATACTTTTCCTTGGATATTTTTTAGTCTAGTCTTCAATATGACTTTAACTATAAGAATTTGTCATGGTATATACATTTGTCTTAGTTGTAAGAATGTGGGGCTAGTATATTCGAGCAGAATTGAAAGTTGTTAAAAACGGGATTAATTTCACAGAATATTAAATTACTGATGGGATATTCACAAAAATACCTATTTGATTTGTATAGAGTTGTTAAAATCCTCTACATCATTAAAAATAGTAAAAAACACTTAAATTCATTGCTAGCAAACTAAGAATGCACATAATTGGTGATCTGTGAGTTTCAGTCGTAAATATTTATAATAGAATTCAATCTATATTGGAAAATTCCATCCTAAATACATTAAATTGCTAGACTTCATAGCAGAACTATTTTGGATCTACTATACAGGGTGTACCAACGATAATTTGATCTCCAAAAACTCGGAAACAAAGAATTTTAAAATTAAAAAAAACTTATTCGCAAGGGGACAAATTTTCATATAAAAATAATTACCAGAAGTCCAATCACCTTTTATTTTAAATAACATATCATTTGAAATGTATTTTTATCTTAATATAGCTCTATATGTTTTTTATTTATGAAATAAATAATATATTTTAGATTGACATACTCATTTGTTTGAAAATATCAATAATCCATATTATTGAAATGATGCACATTCGGAATTTCTTAATATGTGTAGAAGAGAACAGTAAAGTATTAACTAAAAACCATTCTGTTCTAAATTAGAATTAATTTAGGGAAAAATTTAAAACAAATCTTAACTAATTTACCTAACCACAGTGACCAAGGCAGAAATTTTGAAAGTAAACTATTCCGTGGAATCTGTGACAGACTGGGCATAAAGAAAACCAGAACCACAGCATTGCACCCAAAAGTGGTTTCAAACCATCAGAGAGATTGGGATCAGTATCTTCCTCTCTTTGCAATGGCCAAACACCAGCAAAGGTCTTGTTTGGGCGTGAGATGAGACTACCGTGCGACCTCAAGTTTGGACGCCGACCTGGAGAAGATATAGCTGGTGAAGATTATGTGATCCAGTTACGAAGAAGAATGGACGATATGCATGAATTGGTCCGCCCGTATCTTCAAATCGCCAGCGACAGAATGAAGAAGCGATACGATATCCAAGCAACAGAAGGATGTTTCAAAGAAGGCGACAAAGTCTGGCTCCATAACCCAAAATGACAAAAGGGTTATTCTCCGAAGCTTCAAAGGTCTTGGGAAGGTCCGTACATCATCAAGAATAAAATAAATGATAGTAGTGCATCAAAACAGGCTGGCGCCATTTGAGGGTGTCCATGAAGAAGAAGTAAACCAACTTCAAGAAACACCAGAACTTGTTTTTGAAGAATTTATGGGTGCATATGGAGGTACTGGAAAAGCCAGATATGGTGTTACGACCGAGCAACAGCAAAATCTGCTCTCGCTTCCGAAAGACTACTCGCTGGTCCATAGTACTTCCGCTAACATCAACGACGCGCGAGGACTGGCATATGTGTTCCGTAAGAAGTTTGGTCGACTGGTAGAACTTCAATGTCAGTTACCAGCCCCTGGAAAAGCCTTGAAACTTCAAGACGGGTCACGTTATCTTTTTTATTTAATAACGAAGAACACCTTCAAAGATCGATCCACCTATCAAGATGTATGGGAAGCATTACTTAGCGCTAAGGGAGCACGTACGGGAGTCCAATGTACAGAAACTAGCCAAACCGAAGATAAAAGGAAATCAGCTGGATTGGAGGATCATTAGGAACATAGTGGAAGTAATCTTTCAAGATACCGTAGTTCAAATACTGGTCTGCAGCCATTCGCCCAGTTCCCAGGTTACAGCGAAGACAGTCCCTTGTTACTTCCATGCAACTGGAAATTGTAAAAGAGGATTCAGTTGCAGATACAACCATTCCAGTTTATTTTCGTAAGAGTTCCAGGAGGAACTATCTCTTAAGGAGGGAGCAATGTAATGTGAGCCATTTCATTATTAAGTCATGCTCTAATCCTCCAAGTCCCTCTCTGTCTTATTTGGCCTTTGAGGCTCAACTTGTCCGATTATCATACATAATTAAACCCCTTAATACCAAACATATGTGACGACTATGGCGGAGGAGCTTTCGACGACTATTCGAGAAAGAACGGGATAATTGGTGAACATTGTAGGTCCTTCGCCATACTTTTGAATTTGTATATAAATATTGGTGGAGGATCAAGCGGAAGTCAGATAGACAGTGGTGAATATAAATAGTGAACGATTCAAAGACATTCGAAATATATATAAATTAAAATAATAGTTATAAAATAAATAAGTGTTTAAATAAATGGTAAGCACAAAAGTACTTGTAAAGCTCTAAGCACAGTGCAATAAAATATCTTAAACACTGCCACGAATTTATTTTTAGATTCTAAAGAATCTCGACGAAACAGGCAAGATTCCGTAGTATGTCCTTTCCTTCATCAACATAGTGGATTTTTTGAGGAGGAATTGGAATTCAAAATGGTTAATAAATGCTATTTAAAGTTATGACAAATTTATAGACATATATTGACTGGGCTAATATATCAGTGTACAACTACAAAAGAAAATAAAAGGATTAAACCTTATGAATTACTGATGAAATAATAAATGCAATAAACACAGGGATAAACAAAACAAAACTTTTTAATAACTATATTAAAAATACATACACCAATTTTGATAGCGATATGTTAAAAATAAGCAGTTATCGGAAAAAATAAAAAAAATAATTTTAACCTTCATGACCTATCCTCCTGTATCTCGTTAAGTCAACGATCTTTGATTATTTAAATTATAATTCATATTTTTATCATTATTTTCGAAACACCCTGTAGACTACTCATTGGTTAAACTGGTCTATTTATCGGAATTGCGTGAATTTACTTGGACCCGATAATATTACATTATAAAAAATTTATTCATAATAATTAAACCGTTATTTATTGCAAGTAATCAGATTTTTTCATGTTAGGCAGGCAGAGCTGTCGCATTAAAAAGAGCGAGACGCTTGCCAAATTGATTGGGGATGGTCTGGGTGCGAACAAGCGTTTTATGAATGAACCAGCTTGATTTACACCGTTGCCACACTGTAAAATTCATAACGGACTTTCCTGTACATCACCTTTAGCTACAATAATAATTGTGTAACAACCAACTAGTTTAAAGAATCATTTGTAACAACTGTTAGGTTTTTAACTAAAAAACTTACAAAACAACATATATTAATATAATTAGAGATATTTACAAAATCGCTGCACAAAACTTTACATATGAAGGTGTTTCAGGACCTATAGGGTTAACATTTCTAGAAACGCCTAATTTGACTTATCAGCTTGTCATCATAAAATCAGTAAATATTTTGAATTGTTATGGAAAAAATATTTTGCCAACAGTTTTTGAACGTTTCTGTAAGTATGAAACGTTTTTATTTACTAGTTTTAAGACAATGATTATTTAAAGATGGCAGTGAACATTTCTAGAAACGCCTAATTTGACTTTATCAGCTAGCTATTATAAAATCAGTCAATATTTTGAATTGCTGTCATGAAAAAATATTTTGTCAACAGTTTTTAAACATTTATGGTAGTATGAAACGTTTTTCTTTATTAGTTTTAAGGCAATTATTATTTAAAGATGGCAGTGCAACATTTCTAGAAACGCCTAATTTGACTTTATCAGCTCGATTTTATAAAATCAGTAAATGTTTTGAATTATTATGAAAAACATATTTTGCCAACAGTTTTTAAACGTTTCTGTATGAAACGTTTTTATTTATTAATTTTAAGACAATGGTAATTTAAAGATGACAGTGTAACATTTCTAGAAACGCCTAATTTGACTTTATCAGCTTGCTATTATAAAATCAGTAAATATTTTGAATTGCTGTCATAAAAAAATATTTTGTGGCAGTGTAACATTTCTAGAAACGCCTAATTTGACTTTATCAGCTCGCTTTTGTAAAATCAGTCAATATTTTGAATTGCTGTCATGAAAAAATATTTCGACAACACTTTTTAAACATTTCTGTAAGTATGAAACGTTTTTCTCTATTAGTTTTAAGACAATGGTTATTTAAAGAAGCCATTGTAACATTTTTTGAAACGCCTAATTTGACTTTATCAGCTCGCTATTATAAAATCAGTGAATATTTTGAATTCCTGTCATGAAAAAAATATTTTGCAGTTTGTAAACGTTTCTGTAAATATGAAACTTTTCTCTTTATTAGCTTTAAGACAATGATTATTTAAAGATGGCAGTGTAACATTTCTAGAAACGCCTAATTTGACTTTATCAGCTTGCTATTATAAAATCAGTAAATATTTTGAATTGCTGTCATAAAAAAATATTTCGCCAACAGTTTATAAACGTTTCTGTATGATTAAAATTAACGATAGAGCTCTGCTAGATTTTCCAAGTTTTTTATTCCACTAGGGGGCCCTAAAATCAAAAGTGACGCTCTTAACAGTAATATTGCTGGGTTCCCCATATTTTTGATTTATCGAAATAATTAATCGAAATAATCGATTAAGAAATAAGCGAAATATTGGCGATTAATCGAAAAAATCGATCGAATCGGAATAATGATTAATCGAAATAATTGATTGATCGATTAATAGAAATAATCGATTTATAGAAATAATTGATTAATCGATTATTCAAAATAATTGATTTATCAAACAATCGAAATAATTGATTTATCGATTTATCGAAATAATTGAGTAATCGAAATAAACGATTATTCAAAATAATCGATTAATCAAAAATACTCGATTATACTAAAATAATTGATTAAACGAAAACAGCCGGAAAAAGAGGCCCAGCTCCTTTGAATTCTCGTATTTATACCTTCCGATCAGACTGGTTCAGATAACGATCAGTTCGGGGTGGGAGATACCATCTCCAGTCTTAATGTTTACCTGCGGGCGGAAGAAATAAAAAACGCCGTTTTGACACCTGCTGAATATACCTAGATAATTTACATGAAATTGAATGTTAAAAGCCGAATTCGAATTTCGGTAAATACGCGAATTTATAGGAAAAAAAATACGTTCCCAGGCGGAAATTAATTAAAATAAACAATTTATAAATTAATCTGGATTTTACTTTTAAGGTATTTGGATTTCGAATGGATTTTTAAAAAATAAAATAAAAGATGAGGATTTAATAATTATAATTTATTAAGTTTATTATGTATAACACATCTAACTACCTAAAAACTTAAGGTAGGCAGTACGGAAACAGAGGTGATTTAATTTAATAACAAAAATATTAATATGTAAAAGACAATCAAAAAAATGAATTGATAAATTACAATGATATATTTAAAATTAGCTTACCAAGATTGTTTTAACAAACATACCTACTACAAACAATTAAACCCATTTACATATTATTTATTTTCACTAGTATATTTTTGTTAAGTAACACAAATAGATCTTAATCTTCGAGGAAAAAAATTAATATTCACCAAATATCTAGTGCCAAGCCTTCAGAATTTTTTAAAATTTTATTTCAAAATGAATAGAAAAGATAATGTTGTAACTAGTTACTGCGGTTTGATGCCTGGGAAGTGTAGCTATAATTTTGAAGCACGGGGTACACAAACCAGTTTAAATAAATATATTATAAAAAATGCTAATCGATAAAGCTTTGTTCTACACATGCTTTCACCCGTTTTTCGTATTCTCTTCTATTTTCTTTGTATAATTGTGCAGCCATTGAATTTGCGGGAGAATTGGGATTTGGATCACTCAATAAAGACTGAAATAGACAAGTTAATACATAAGTTTCAGGAAATTTTTTGTCAGTTTAAAAATAAATATTAATAAATACTCAAATTAGTTATGAAATCAAATAATTTGTTCAGTCATAGAAGGAAAAATGTTTTATCCAACCTAGATATCAATATGCAAGACATAAACCATATTTTTTTTTAATGTCCTCTTCAGGTATATACAGTGTCTTCCACAAGTTGGTGTAAATGTGACAGTTTTCTATTATACCTATAAACTTGTCAGTTTATATTGATTTATTTTTGTGTAGATAATTTTCTATTATGCTACATTAAAACACTATTATAGGCAGAAAAAGATATGACCCATCAAAAATATGACTGTCCTGGCAAGTCAACATTTTTTACATTTTCATATGTTATATTCATAAAAGTTATACCTGCTGCTTAATTAAGTCAATATTTGAAAATAATAATCAATAAATAACATAATTTTAAAACATAAAGTAGAAATACAGTTTTTCATTGATGTGGGAACATAGAAGGTTAGGTACCTAATTCAAAACTATTAATTTTTTTGATCAACTTGGAATATTTATATTTTAAATATAAAATTTTTACAATCTAATAATCCAAATAATAGTATTTTTTAACAGCAAAGGAACCCACTGCAAAATAATAGGTTAATCACTAGTATAGCAAAATAACATATATTCCATAAAATAGAAAAACAGGCTCCTACAAAGTACCCCCTAAATGTTCCGACTGGACCCAAAATTTAATCAGTTTAAGGCCCGATGGATTAAAACTTAAATTCAAAATTTGGGGTTTTTCTCTTTATCAGTTTTTGAGTTATCTTCAAAATTGAAAATTTGCACTTTTTCTCAAATATCTCGAATACGGCCCATTTTAGAGAAATTATGTATAGGCAGGAATTATAGAGCATGATATCACACACAACTTTTATTTATCCAATTTTTTTTAAATTTGATTTTTTTACATTTTGTCAAATTTCTCGAGTACGGACCATCTTAGGAAAATTTTGTATAGAAGAAAAATTATAGAGAATAATACTACAAGCAACTTTTATTTGAAGAATTTTCTTATCTAACCATAAATAGCAGATGTATTCCATAAAATAGAAAAACGGCCCCCTATAAAGTACCCCCCTAATGTTCCGACTGTGTCCAAAATTTAATCAGTTCACCGCACGATGAATAAAAGCTAAAATTCAAAATTTGGTGTTGTTCTCTTTATCCGTTTTGGAGTTATATTCAAAATTGAAAATTTGCACTTTTTCTCAAATATTTTGAATACGGCCCATTTTAGGAAAATTTTGTATTGAACATAAATTATACAGAATAATATTACAAGTAACTTTTATTTTAAGAATTTTCTTTTCCAACAGTAAATACAGAAATATTCCATAAAATAGAAAAACAGCCTCCTGTTAAAGTACCACTCCCCCCTCCCAGATGTTCCGACTATGATTTTTAGATTGAAAATATACAACACAGTCAAAATACATAAAAAAAATGAATATTATCCATGCAAACTGGCAGAGGGCTTCAAAATGAATAAAAATTAAATGTTTTTGGATATTGAGGGCTTTCAGTTTAGGGTAGTTACCTACAGTTGCTGGTACAAACAATATGATGTCATTCAGTATGAGGGCATATATATATATATGGATGTAACTCACGAGGACATAGGAACTGATGATTTAGATGATGAAGAAAATGCTAAAGAAGAAGTAGCACTCACAACTAATCAAGAAAACTTAGAAGGTTTAAAAGGTTGAATCAAGAATAAGTTCAAAAAATAAACCACTCTATGCTAGCAGAAAATATGATAAAAAAAGCCAAAGAGACTTTTGTACAATTTTTAGACAAGTTTAAAGAATGCCTTGAAACTAAAGATAACCTAGCAAAAAGAAACAATAACAATTTAAATTTCTAAACAAATACTGAGTTTTCAGTGGATTAATAAAATGGTTGTGAATTAATGTGTTTTGAGTTCTTTTAATTTACTTTTAATAATTAATAAAGGTTTTTATTTTTTGAAAGAAATACAATACAAAAAGAAAGCCATAAATAATAATCCCAGTAAATAAACAACCTGTAACAATAAGTCTTTGAAGGCAGGTTTGAAGTCATTTGGTATTTGGCAGACAACAGTAGAGAAGTTAATTACTTAAAAGACAAACATCCAACCTTATAACAGACCTATTTTCTTCCGAAAGAATATCTATAAATAAATTAACTCATTTGCCATTAATTTTTTATATTTTCTTGTGAAATTAGTGAAGAAATATCACTCTCTAAATTGCTGTTTTATACTTCCTATAATGATCTACAGAGAACTTTCCTCTACCTGTAACTATTTATAGATTTTTGCTTACAGGTCTTATAGATCATCTCAGAAACAACTGACTAGTTGGATAATTATGAAAAAATGCAGTTTAAAACATTTATTTATATTTTTAATGATCAACAATAATTTAAAAATGTATATACGTGGAATAAGTACTTAAGGAATGGACAAATAGAGCATAATACTGTGAACAACAAAGAACTTTTCTTTTTGTTCATTATTTATCAAATTTTAATTAAACATGTTGAATTTGCTTAACATAACAGGGATAACAAGCATCTATATTCAAAATTTCTATTGATAATATTGATTATATGTCGTATTTTAATCATTATAGAAAATTAAAGCATTTAGTACCAGAAATAGAACATTCAAATATTTTTGGCAATCAATGATTAATAATACTAATCTATAAATGAATTCAATGAGCATAACAAAAACACTTACTTGAATTGAAGTTAATATAGCAGATACATCATACGTAGGACTCCATCGGTTCTGTAATATATCTAAACATATACCACCATCTGCATACACATTCGGATGGAACATATGACTGACAAACCTTACAGTCGGAGGTTTATTTGGGTATTCTTCCGTAAACTCGATGGTTAGCTTAAACGTTCCATCTTCGAAAGGGGTATCATGTGGGCCAAAAATTACTGCGTTCCATATCATAATATTGTTATCAGTGGGAGCACCACTAACACCAGTTGGTGGGTCCTCTTGTAACCTATAAACAAAATATTTCGATTTAATAAAAATATATTACTTTTCAAAGGACATAAAGAACTCGATTCATTGAATCACTCACCTTTTGAAATCCCTCATAAGGCGTCGTCGTGCAGGAGTTGACATTACGTCTTATTTTAAATATGTTATAGTTCACCTAATAACAATAATTAATAACAGGATCTTTATAAAAAAAACACGGAAAATTTTTAATTTATCTAAATACCTAAATTCCACAAGATCTTTCTTTGCATGTCATAAATGTCTAAAAACAAATACCACAAACGGACGGACCTGTCACTAATGTCATTAATGTCAAAGAGTGCACTCGTTCGTCATCATTTTTTTATGGAACATGAGTAAGAACGTTCGTTTGCATAATCCAAGGTTAATATGTAGACAAGGTTGTGCTATTGATGCGTCACATTTATATATATAGAACAATTGCCGCGTTTGAGAATCCACATCGGATGCATCTGAGATGTAAAAAATCTTTGATCACGTGGTTCAGTATACGTAAATGTAATGGGACAGATGTGTCCGATGTGGATAAAAAAACGCTCGAGATGTAAAAAATGCATCCGATGTGGATTCTCAAACGCAGCATATGTCTACATTTTAGACAGAATTCTTGCTTTCTTTTTTTTCCACGGTAAATACTTCGAATTACTTTGTTAATTCACATAAATGTAAAGCAAAACAGAGAGTAAATAGTTTAAATCATCTGGCTGGTGTCTTCAACGAACGCAATAAGCATCGAATAGGCATTAACCAAACATTTTGAATTAATTAGCCTCTAATCTATCTGCTTTGTTTTACATTTATACGATAATTCAGTGCATGAGTAAAAACGAAAATTGAAATTTTGCCTAAAATGTGGACATAAAATGTCGGAGATAGGAGATGCCGTTCGCTATCTATGAGTCGTCAAAAGTAAGAGTAGATTTCCGCTAAAGGCGACATCTGTTGACGAGATGCCAAAAGGATTGAAGAATAGATGTCTGTTTTAGTCCAAAACAGAATAGACATAAAATGACAAAAAACGTATCTCTTTGTTGAATAGTAGTCAGGTGGCAAAAGGCCTTCATTAAAATTAAATTATTTAAAACTTGAATAACTTTTAAACGGCTGTAGATAGAGATGAGCGGTCAAAATCATTTAAATTTACTTAGTTTTGTTCTATAGTTGGCGAAATGTACAGGGCGATTCAAAAATTATTAGCTGAGAAAAACGAAGTGTTTATAGATAGAAAGCAATATCTCTTGCTTTCTTTTATAAATATTTAAAAAAATCGGAGACCAAAAATTTAGCTCACGCCGTTGATTGCCATACAAAGTGTAGAAGGTCATATCACTTCTTTTTTAGAATAGTGACACAATTCAAAAAAATTGTAATTTTGAGAGTAATTTACAATTAAACCCAAAACACCACAATATTTAACATGAATAATGTCAAAATAGTGTAATTTCACAAAAATCCAAAAGCTGGTGCTAGTGTCATTGAATTTTAACATGATTTAACAAGAATATCGTCATTAATTTAGTTGATCGGTATTATTCAAAGAGTGACCTGGTTTTGTCGGGAATAGTGACATATTATCGACCGTGTTACTAAAAATAATGCAGTATTATCAGAAAAAAGGACGTATCATTTCAGTTAGTTTTTATAAAAAATATTTCCTACTTAATGGATCCTATTTTAGAAATAATGACATTGTAACACTTTTAAAATACTAATAGTATAATTTTGATTGATTTTAGCAAAAAATGCTTGTAATTATTAACCCGTACAATATAAAACAAATTAAAAAAGAAAAACTTTCTAATTGCGTCATTATTCCACCGAGAAAGGCGGCAGTAATAGTCGAGACAATATTACTTACAGAAATTTCTGGATAAATACTTTATTACTTTCGTTAATTTTGAATGAATGTTTAATAAGAAATATTCACCAATATTAAAAAAACAAGCCATTGAAAAACAGTTTATAGTATTTTGGAATAATGTTAGATGTTAACAAAGCTTGTAAATCCTTTCTATTTTCACTTGGGATTTTTAAATTGTAAGCGGGTTTTACCTGATAATTTAATTTAATCTGTACACTGTAGATGCATCACTGTAGAAGTAGAAAATTATAACTCAACAATGACACAATCCACAATTATGCTGGTAGTTGCCGAAAGGAAATTTGAAAATTAGGCGAATAATGATACAATTGTGACTTACGCCGTTGTTTCCCGAAGATCATACACAAAATATATAACAGTCGATGTTGAAAGAAAATTCATGAAGCACAGTTTCTATTTTAGACGCTACTAACAGTTGTTCATCTGGGGACGTGGTTAAAAGGCCGTCATTAGAATAATGACGCATAAGTACCTAGTTATTAGGAAAAAAAAAAAACAACCAACCAAAAATTATTCAATTTCAATTTTATAAATATATTTATTACAAAAAAATTATTCATTTACGGGTACAAAAAGATTATCTTACCGAGACAAAATCAGCCTTTCATGTAAAGGAAGCCAAACATTAAATAAAAAAAATTACCTACATAAAAGAAAGTATGATAATTAACATTGTTCACATTGATATAAACACTTTAGGGTTGGCTTTTTTAAAAAAAAGCTTTGTTCATCTCTTGACTAGAGTCCTCCAAATCTACCTGGTCACCACGTAACACAGATTATAGTCCAAGCTACACAATGTTGAATCCCAACGATAAAATGATGATAAGAAACTCGAAAACTTTTTAAAGTGTGTCAAAAATAATTTCAAATCTATTTTATAATAAAAAATAACATATTTTGCTAAAATTTTAACACAACATTTATACTTTAATGACAATTCTTAAGATTATTGAAGCTAAACCAAACAAAAATTTTAAATTACTTCCAAAAATTAGTGAAAAAACACAAAATTTAAAATTTCCTGTCTTATTTGTATAAAACTTTTGAACGATAAATAAAAATCCGTGTATTTTCGAGGTGTGGCTGTGATTGATCATTCTGCAGATAAATGGCGAGGGCGCACATTCACATGTTTAAGTATAACAACATGTCAATATATAACATTTCTTGTGAAACATCAGAAAATCTTCCACATAAACGTATACATTATTAAAAAAAAATGAAGATGACTATTTATCATACACTCAAGTATTCAAGTGATCATTGAACTATATATTAAGAGGTTTCCTATTTTTTAAATATCTTTTGTATAGTAAATACCACACGTTAAATTTATTTAAAAAGATATTAAAAAAAAAAAAATGTTTTTGTTTCGACTTTTTTGGTACGAGTTTTAAATTTTATCTTTTGCGTATTTAAGAAAGCCAAAGATGTAATAAAATGTTATCAAGAATAAAATCAATCAAGAGGTTTTTAGAACATCCACCCTAATCACCGGATCTCCTATCATGAGAAATTATTAACCAAGGGCAAATCAGCACTGAAAGGAACCATATATGACACAGTAAAGCTGTTAAAGAAAACGCAGCAGAGACAAACATGCTTTCAAAAAATAATCAACAGCATTACCTATGGAGTGACGTAGGGAAGGAAGTAAAAGTAATAATGTTAAAATTGTGAAAGAAAAGCAGTAAATGTTTTTCGTTTCTTTTCTAGTCCTCTCCATATCTTACATATACAGAGAGTAGAGAAATTCTTTTAAATAAATCTATAAAACTTAAAAAATCAGTTTCTCAACGATTTTTTGAGCAAATGTCATTTTTATCCAAACAAAATTCGTTGGATTACGACTATTAAGAAGTTGAAAATTACGCCATTGCGTGCTAATACTAACAATAGAAAATAATGAATCACATTTAGGTGTATGTAAATGGAATAAATCGTCTACTAAACGAAGGAATGATTTCTATTTACATTTTTGTTAGTTATGCTCAACATTTATTTTATAAATTAAAAAAATGAGATCGTATAGAGTGATTGCAAAATAATATGTTGCTTATTTTATTTTTAACATTTGATTTTACTGCTTTAGCTTTTTTAAAATTTAAGAAATTAAATTTAAAATTCCTACAAAAGAAGTCGAATTAAAAGATTAAAATTTTTTATTTATTTCAATTCTTTTGTAGGAATTTTGTTTCATCTTCTATGTATTTAAAAAAGCTAAAGGGGTAAAATCGAATGTTGTCAAGAATAAAATCATATAGTAATTTAACTATAGATTTAAAAGATTATGCTTTGCATTCTTTTATGGGAATTAGGGTTCTCTTAAAAATAGAAACTAATATCAACAAGCATTAGAGTAAATGCACTCAATCAACAACAACTAAATATTCTCCTTGGTATATCTACAAGGATTTTTTTTTAAATATATAACAATGTATCTACTTCGAGTTAGAATCATATAGAAAACTTTGTATTATGAATTTTATAAAAATAATACAACAATCAGTTTTTAGTTGTATACGAGGTTTATCAAAAAATATGAATTTTGTTTAAGTACAATATCGAAAATTGTTATAACGAAAAGTTCATTAGAATTAAAAACTGCGTTCCATTCGTTTTAGTAAATATAAGACAAATTGTTATTAATTAATAATATCGCACCCTTGCTTCAAAAGTGACACAACTCAAAATTCACATTGTGAATGAATAACATTATTAAATTATTAACACGTAAAAAAAATTTTGAGCATCAATGTAGGGTTGTATACTATAAAATTTAAAGTATTAACTAAAATTATACGAATTTTGAGTTGTCACTTTTGAAGCAAGGGTGCGATACGTTTTAGTAGTCAAAATTATTGACATACATGTTCAATTTAAAGTTTAAAACGATTTTGAATTAAAATTATTTCAAACTGGTGAAAACATTCGGTAACTAAGCTAATTTTTAATGTAGCAGTATACTTTAAAAAGTTCGAAGAATTTTTTTACCTAATCAAGGAAAACGGCAATTAAGAAGTCTAAATCTAATTTATATAAAAACAGGACGTTAGTGGCAAAAGTATCCAGGAATAAACTAAATTAATCACCCCGTTATACAATTATTGATGCGAAACAAAACTAAGTACTATGCAAAAAGAAATAAGAGAAATTTTTATGTCCAAACTAAAAAAGAAAAGTCTTATCGAACGTTCGATAGAAATAATTTTTTTTGTTGAATATATTTTAATTTTTTGCTTTCGTCGATGACATATTACGACGTTGCCATTTATAATTTTTCTCCAGATCCGAGGAAAAATCGAAATCGCAGCGTCGCAATCTGTTATCAAAAGAAACGACGTATAATGACACCAACTGCATCAAACTAGTAGTACCCTTTGCAAATCGCTTCACTGCGAGCTGACAAGGCAATTTTTGAAGATTTTCCCCAGATCTGGGGAAAATATGCAAAAGTCTGTCAACGCGCTATTAAAGGTTTTATAATTTGTCATCAAAAGAAGTGATGTCTAAAAGATCTTATGCGTTGTTATTCTCAGTTGAATTCGTGAAATTAATTATTTTAGTTTAATATATTTCAATAAATTTTAATAAACATGAATTTATTTCAATTTTTTTTTGATTTATTGGAATTTATTCGAATTCGATTCAATTTATTTAAATTTTTCAATTAAAATTAATATTTTTGACAAACCTTGTATACGACTGAACATGTTTTATATTTATTGATTGTATTATGCGTTCTAGACACTACAAAACGTTTTATATAAAATAACTTTTTGTTATTATAATTAATAATAAAAAAGTTTTCTATATTTTGACACAAAAAGTTTTCTAAAATTCCTACCATCAAATTTTAAAAACCAAAATTTCGCGTAACGCCAGGACTATTATTTTATTATTAAAAAAAAAAAAATTTATAAAAACCAACCCTCAAAATTAACAGTGACTATTAATATAAATGCACCCGTTTTATTTATACTTTTCTTCTTAAATTTTACATTTAAGTTTTCACACGCACTTTTCGAAAAGTTCCGTGTAACGTTCAATCACAGAGCACATTGGCCGAAATATTTTTTGTTACAAATAGTTTTGTGTAAGGTAAAACAATAATAAAACCGAGAAGTCCAACCCGAGATTCACTAAAAATCACAATAAATGAGTTACAATATTGTCAGTGTGCATGTAATGTAAAACAATTATTATATTGTTGTTAGGAATATGAATTAATATTTTTTACTTCAATTCAGAAAGGAAATAAGTTAAAAAATAAGATATTTGTACAAACATATTAAAAATATCGAATATTGTCCAATTTAAAATAAAAACAACGAAGAGATGTCTTGTCATGATAATAAACATCGACATTGCTTTCTAAAACTCACAAAATTTTCTCAAAATTTTATTTTAAACAGAAATAAACTAAATGCGCTAATTTAAGATATTTCTTTTTTGAACTGAGGTAGCGATATATTTATAAAAATAATAAACTACTTAAAATTTATTACATATATAAATATACGATTAATACAAATATGTTGTTCGAAATAATTTGACAAGAAAACGTTCAGGAACTTGGACCACTTTATGTGGATGTAACTATTACCTTGAAAGTTGAACATTTACAAGATTAATTTTCAAATCAACCTATCAAATATATGCGGTTTAATTTATTGTTACGTTGCCACGTTACTTTCCCTTTTTATTTTATTTTTGACATTTGTTTTTACACCTTTACCTTTTTTTATGTATTTAAAAAGGCTAAGGGAGTAAAATCAAATGTTGTCAAGAATAACATTAGATAGTAATTGTTGATCGCAGGTTGTGATTAAATAAATTGAATAGCATACAAGAATGAAATTATAGACGACTTTAAAGAAATGTTGTAAATACACACTTTTTAAATTTCTTGATATATAAATCTACCGATGTAGATTGGCAGTGTAGAAAATCACCAACACTTTTTATACTTACATGCACACACGTTTTTTCTTGCGACTTGCATGAAAATTAACAAAAAAGTGGCAGTTAAATAATTTTGTCGGTTTAACAAGAATTCGGAAAAATTACACAAACAAAGAATTCTCATTTAATAAGGACGAAAACTAATTTTTTTTACAAATATGGAGTTTGTTAAGATATTTAAAAAACAAAGTTAAAATTTTTAAATCTTACTCCCCGATAAATAATTTCGCCCGTCTTAAATGTTTCAACAAAATATTTATTTAAACTTACCAACTTTTCATGTAAATCGCAGAAAATTATACCTATTTAAGCACAATGTTACCAACAGATAGAAAATAAAATAATTTCAAAAGTAAACATTAAATATGTACAGTTTAAACACCTCAAAATGGGGATACAAAAAGTATAAACACCATTTTTAGTTCCTTTTAAATTATAAATTACCCAAAAATGATTCTAATAGGAATTTAAAACAAACTAATAATAATAGTTGCTTACGGATACATCAAACTTTGGTACTACATTTTTGGAGTGAATGCAAACAAAGGCGATCCTATCCATATTAAACTTTTATTAGACATTGACTCCAATTGTGTCAAAATAGAAACGTACCATTTGCAAAACGAATCACTGGGAGTTGACAAGGCCACTTTTGAATATTTTCCCCAGATCTGGTGAAAAATATGCAAAAGTCTGTCAACGCAATTTAAGGTTTTGTAAAGGGCGTTGCAACGTCACAAATTGTCATCAAAAGAAGTGACGTCTAAAAGAGCTTACGCGTCGTTATCATTTATAATTTTTTCCCGGTCTGTAGAAATATTAAAATGACAACATCGCAATCTATCATCAAATAAAGCGAACGTAGATTAGTATCGCCAAAAGGGCAATGGCGAGACATTAATTCAAAACAGTTATCACGTAGTTCGCTAAAATTCTGCTAAAATGGCAACGTTGAACCGTCACTCAGGGGTTGTCCTTTTGGCTATACCAATTTGTATGTTGCTATCTTCGAATACAGATTGTGAAGTTGCTATTTATACTTTTTCCCCAGATCTGGGGAAAAATCATTAAAAGTGTCCCATATACTACTAGACTTTCTAAATAAATTGTTTTACTCATGGCATTATCATAATTATTACAAGCTAAAAAGGCAACGTGGAACACGCGGTCACAAAAACGTCACTCTGGAGTTGCCCTTTTGGCGATACCAATATATATATCTTCGATTACAGATTGCGAAGTTGCCATTTATAATTTTTCCCTAGATCTGGGTAAAATTGTCAAACGTGTCCCATATACTACTAGACTTTCTAAATAAATTGTTTCAGATCACCACCCATGGTATTATCATAATTATTACAAGCTACAAAGGTATCGTCAAACACGTTCATAAAAAACGTCATTCAAGGGTTGCCCATTAGTCAACATCAATTTTTTTATGTAGCTGCCTTCGATTACCGATTGCGACGTTGCAATTTATATTTTTCCCCAGATCTGGGGAAAAATCACCAAACGTGTCACATATACTACTAGACGTTTTGCAAATAAATTGTTTTAAAATAGCCTTGGTATTATCATAATTGAACTACCGAACTCGCCATAGAGAATTTAAATTCTTTGAATATATTCTCCGCCTATAATTAACACTAGGTGTTAGTAACATTGCGCTTAAACCAGTACTAAAGTACTCATTTTTTTTAGTAATCACAAGGGCTTCCCGACGAATTACTTATTAAAAAACCGACTAAATAGTAGATGCAGAATCACTTTCTTCCAAATTCTTACCGCTCCTCTCATCTCGGCAAACGAGAAGAAACGATGACGATACGTCGGCCAGCGGGGTGCCGGGGTAGTCGGGAGGCGGTAGGCCCTGCTGCGTCTCATCTTGTCAGACTTTGTTTCTCATCTCGTATGCGCCCGCGTACAATTCCGGATGATTCTGTCGGCTAAAGTTGTTCGATGGCGGCGGCGCGGTCGCTAGTGGAGAATACTCTAATATATTAAAAGAGTTTAGAGTTAATTTGAATTGGTATTTACAAAACGTTACTTCTAGATACGAAATATATACAGTGTGTACCAGAAATGAGTAAAGATTGTTTGATTGAGAGCTGTTAGCGAATGTATATCGGGATATATTGAAGGAGAAGATAAAAACGCAAAAATAGTTGAAAATACAAGGCATTTTTAGCAGTAAAAATAAATAATATATTAAGTGTAGAAAATTACGCTTTAAAAAGGAACATTATGTACGTACACAATAAAAGCATTGTCCAGAAACGGGCAGATTTTATTTTTAAAAATAATATCAAAATCTCATACAACTCACAACTGCATGAATTGAGAGAATGCCATAGAAAAAGTATAGTATTTAACTCGAAAGAAATGTAAATAATAAAAATATTTTCTATAAAACCTACCTTTTGGAGCATGATAATGCCCCCTACCCTCACCATAACCAGGTCTAGGTCCTCCTTGACTCGTCGAGGACCTACTGCTAGGAGGTTCTCTTCGATTTCTTCCTGACGGACCACTCGCGCTCGCGTTATGTGGACCGCCGTGATGGTATCTCTGGAAATGTATGTCAAATTACAATAAAACTATTTAAAATGAAGCAATGAAAATAAATAAAAAATCAGTCTACTGGTGTGAATCGAACCTACGGCTTCTGGTATACCGTATTAACAGCTTAACTAGTAGTTTCAATTAATTTATATGAAAAACGTATTGAAAATTTCTATTAAATAAAATAATGTTAACCTAAATCTTTCATTATTAAAAATTAATTGAAATCCCCCCCAATTTCAACCAATTTATATAAAATAAACAACAAATTTCTCTCAAATAAAATTTTAATCTTTCATTATTTAAAATTAATAGAAACCTTCAATTTAAAATAATTTATAGGAAAAACATATAGAAAATCCTTATCAAATAAAATTTTAACATAAATCGTAGCGTAGAGCGTAGACAATTTAAAAGTTTGAAAAAATATGAGGCTGTATTCTCACTTTATCAACAAAAATTAACTTTAAATGACAAAATAATTAAACTATCTTCTATCTGTAAAACAAATCTGTTTTTTGGTTTTAGATCTGTTAAAAAAAACGGTTTTTGGTTTTCGACAAGTATAATTTATATTAAATTGTTCAAAATTACTTACCATTCGTCTCAATGTGTTCATGGGCCTTCTCAAAGTATCGCTAATTCGCTGCGCTTTCTTCATCTTGGGATTCGACGAAGGCGTATGGACTGCGCAGCATTTTATAAACAGTCCCATAAAAATGATAAACGTAATGCCCATCAAAAGAACGGCCCACCAGTATTCGGTAATCCATTGGGCGACGGTGATTAGGGTGTCTTTATTTAAAAGCAAATTCATGAGTCGCACTAAAGGTCCATCTGCATCTACGGCACGGCATTTGAGGAACACGTCGCAGTATCCCTATAAAATATTTTTTATCTTCAAGTACAACTGGATTATACTAATTTACATTTTTGATATGGTTGACTAAAACGAAATTGAAGAAATCCCAGTTAAATGTAGATTAAAAATAGCCTGATCCTCCATGAGAAATATTTAAAGAAAGAAGTAAAATCAGAACGGCTACAAAACTTTTCTGATTCTCTACTGTTTGTAAAACAATTTAAGTCACAAAAATTTAATTTTTCGGAAAATAATTCTTGTATCAAAAATAAAAACAAATTCAAATTCTCCCGGTGACCTTCTGATTTCACAAAAAACGATTCCCTGTGAAACATGATCAGTTTTTATTAAAATTATAGTGGCACAGCTCATAATATATTATGGAATAATTATAGATTTCTGATTTGCCCATTCACAACATGTACCGAGGGATACTCAGTTGCTAATGCTGATTTTCATTGTTATTTTATGAGTAGTATCTTTATATCAACTTTTAAAATTCATGAAAAATCGAAGGCATGATGTGGATTAACTGTTCTTATAAAAATTGTTAAATGGTTAAATGTCCGGAACTGCTTGCTTTATATAACTTTACTGCTAGATAAAGAACTAGAAATGGACCATTGTTATTTAAAAATAGGGAATTGAATAGCTTGTCGTGTCCAAATGATGTATTTTTCAATTCATTTTAGCAGATAGACCACTATCATTTAAAAATATTAAAAACAATGTTAATATTAGTATAATTAAAAGTGATTTGTATTTTAGGTTTAGATATGTTTATTTTCGGTTCAGGTATGTTTATTCTCGGTTCAGGTATGTTTATTTTAGGTCTCGCAATTTTTTAAGCCGCTCTATTGGTCCATCTGGATTTACTTCTTGACATTCGAACGACAAGTCGCACTAACCCTACAAAGTATTTTTCATCTTTAACTTAACTCATATGCATTTATATAATAAGGCTTTATGGCTTTAATTTTTTGTAATATTTATTAATTAAATAGATTTTCCGCAATAGATTTTCCGCAATAGATTTTTGATATTTTATAAATTTTAAAAATTATCTATTACATAATACTTGTCATTTGATTGATTTTAAGGGTTCCTGTTTGTTTGTTTTTAAATTAATATAATAATAATAATAATCTTTCAAATGATTTTTAAATATTTTTTATTGTATGGAGATTTCCTATATGTTGCTCAATAAAAAAAAAACAACAAATTTTGATTTTAGATTAATTAATTCCTAAGATACTCCAATATCCATTTTTATCAATGGCCGATTTGATGATAATTTATAATTAAAAAATAATTTTCCCGAATTATAAACGGAGCAGATTGTAAATTAAAAAAAAAAAAACAAAAAAAATTGTTCATTTATTTAATGAAGAGCAAAAGTCTTTTTGAATATTCCTCCAAAAAATTTATATTAATTAATATTAAATAATAATTAATTTTAATTAATAATAACTAATAATTAAAATAGTTAAAAATAATTAATATTTAATAATCATATTGTAGTGACAGTTAATAAAATTATATTCTATTCATTCGCTGGAAATTATATATTAAATCGTTAAAATGGTTATAAATTGAGGGAAATTTCGCCAAAATCACAAAAAATCATATAAATTTCACCAAAATCCAAAAAATGTATAGATTTCAGCGAAATCACCAAAAATCTCACGAATTTTTGGTTTAATCCGAAATAAAAACACGTTATGACTTTAGTGGTTTACCCCTTGAACTTTTATTACACGTATTTATTTAATTACTTACTTGGAAATTGTCACAAGGCGATCCAGGTCTCAAGCTAATCCCGCCCGGAGGCAGACCGACTTTATCCGAAAATTCACTGGTACTTCTACAAACGTCGGTTCCATTCTGGCAAGCCAATTCGCACAATTTTCTTTTATCTATATTAGGATGATCTTGAGTCGTTAGAGAACAAGCTTCGAGATTCCATTCCAGACAAATCGATCCGGAACATTCACCTTTAATGCACAATTGAGTGCCGTTGTTACATCTCGTTTTGTCTTCGCGGGGAACTGGGGACGGGCATTCGGCACTGGTTCCATTACATTTCGAGGATCGCGAACAATCGGATTCCATTTTGCATTCTTCCCCTTGGTATACGGGAATGAAATGGCACTCGCTATTGCAACAGGGACCTTGACTAGGACTGTAAAAAAAAAAATACAAAAAAATATTACATTTTGCTGGTGATAATAATACCTAATATATCATACATCTGCAGTTTAAGTATGAAGAATAAATAAATAAAATAAAGAGGTTTTCTTTATTTGGACTTTGTTTAACAAAAATGCAGGTTAACTGTCATCTAGGAGTCAACTCCTCGCTTTTAGTAACCTTATTTGACTATTCTGACCGAGATGCTGATGAGCAGTAAATTAATTTGTAAAAAGTTTTACACAAATTTAATTTTGCCTGTTTTCGCGAAAAAGCTAGCGAAAAAACAGGGTTTACATGTATGTGTGCGATTATCTGTCATTATCTGCAGCTTAGCAGTGTATACTACTCGCAGATTGCACTGATAGACCAGCCATTCAATCGCAAATCTAGAATAAAAGGTCGCCGAACAGACGCCCCGCCCAACCGTTCAGTCCACCCGCCGACCAGACTCAATGACCCTAACAGGGTTTATAAATATGCTGAATTAGTTCCAATTGGCTGTTATACACTTTATTTACAATGCAGCTTTATGGAAGTAGACATGAATACAAAAAAGTGATACAATAAGGAAATGCCATAAAAAAGTGTATCTAAGTGGACTTAAATAGATTCTAGTCATGGTTTGGAATCCAAAATTCAAATTAAACATTGTTTTTCTTTTTCGGCTCAAGAAAATTCGAAATATTTTTGACAAATTACAGAAATATATGTTCCAAAAGAAATTTGAGACAAAAGAGGATTACAGTTCAATGTGGTAGTCAGAAAGCCCCCCACAAAACAGGTTAATTTTGATCAAAAAGAATAGTAAATGAATTGATAACTACTGAAAAGAATAAAGAAGAAAAGGGATTTCATGAAACTGAAAGATATCAATTAATCAATATGAATTAAAAGTTAAACAAACTATTTTATGTTATTAAAAATAAGGTAAGTAAAGTGTTTAAACTCAAAAATAATAGGATCAACATAAATAAATCTCTAGTCCTGATTAAAAAAGATAAAAAATTTGTTCCAAGTTGAAATGTTTGATATTACATTAGAATTATTAATTTTTCCGTAATATTTCATCGATTTTAGATTCATTTCATACTAAAATTATAATCATATTAGTAATATCAATGGAATTACGTTTTTTAGGCTTGTTTATTTTGAACACCCTCTACAGATTAACACGATATATTGATTTCTTTGTTACTGAATTTCATAGAACTAATTATGTCATGTAAATAGTTTGAAAACTAAATATTGTGAGGTATATTGATTTTATCAATACAAACATTTAAATTTCTAAGAGAAGGCACATACTGAGAAATTATTGAACTTAATTAGTCATTTATATACTCAATATTGGAAGTTCTGAGAAAAAATTTACTGAGGAAATTAATTTGTCACTCTATACTCGGAATACAATGGAATTTAATAACAATATAGTTGTGGAAATGGGCGGAGGTAATTTGCCCACAAAATATTTAAAGCTGCTAATCCTATAGGTAATTTGCCCACAGCAAGTAAAAGGTCATCTTAATCCTGTTGGTATTTTGCCCAAATTTATTTCTAACTGAATAAATCATAATAGATATATCTTTCATTTATTATTTTTTATATATTATCGAAAAGTAAAAACACATTATTAATTAAACTAAAAATTATATTAAACACTAATTTTTATTATTATAAAAAAGTAAGTATACATAAGTTATATTATATTTTTTATATATTTATATTTTATTTACATATTTTTCAACTGGGAGGGATAAATGTGATACAAATTTTATATACTCTAATCTGCTGATTTGCTGCAGATCAAATCGCTGTATAAATTTTTCTAAACACTGAATTTTTTGTTTTACACTTTTGTCATTGATTTTCTTAGGTATACTTAAGCTTTGTATTGTGACATACGTGTCGATTTGAAAGTCTTTAAGCTTTTCTATAAAAATATATACAGAAGGATGTGTACAGTAGAATGAAGAATTAAACCTTGAATGAAACGACTCACAGGCATTTGTAGGTCTTGTAATTGAAGCTGTTTTTTCTGCCCATATACTTGGAGGAAATGTAGAATTTTCTTCAATATATGTTTCTAATAGGTAATCGGCATACCTATCGAGAACGGCATTTTCTGGTTTACTTGCCATTAAGTCAAACACAAAACAGTCTCCAACTTCATCGGCGTTTAAATATGTCAACCCAAATGATGTTTTAAGCCATTTTCCGGTATCACTGTTAGTTGTATATTCAGTCATTAATCCCAGAGACTGAATTTTACGATACCACGCTTGATGTAGATGAAATCGGCAGCCATTGATTACAGTATTAGGCCACATATAAATTAACGCCTTATGAATTGCTATTTCAAAATCAACGAACACTTTAGATGGATTTAAAGCAATACTGTAACTTTCCAAAATTTTATAATGCAATAACGAAAACAAATGTTTGTATATATCGGTAGATTTGTTTAGTAATAAACAATATACCAGGGGCACATAGTGTCCACACAGCCCATGAATGGTAAATAATTGTAGGAAAAACTTTGTACAATACGAAAATGTTCCATCCATATACAAGACGTTCATTTTACACAAAGTACGAATATTTGTCTCACATGTAAATACAATAATATTATTTTCTCTGCTATTTATTAAAAGAAAATGTTCACCTTTACTGGTTTTAAATGTATTAGAATATAAGTCAACTGCATCATGCACTTCTTGTATATTTGTAGGTAATGGACCTGGTAGTATTTTGCGACGACTGTTGTATATAGTTTTTCTTATGTAGGACACATCAATTGTAGTTAGTGACTCTGGTAAATTAGTAGCAAGTACTTTACGGATAATTTTAGAAGGTTTTTCCGAAATATCATCAACTGCTTTTCGCTTACACGAATTAGAAATAATTTTCCTGTTTAATTTCGGTTCATTTGCTTCATGGCTATGAATTAGGTTGCCTCTGGATACTAAAAGTTCAGGACCAATTGTAAATACAGTGGCATTACAAGCATTTGTTTTTCTTTGGGAGCATCTCCAAGAAACTTATCCACTTTTCATTTCTCTATCTTTGGCAAACGTAAAATTCTCCAAAAGGAGTACATCTTTCCCGCGTGTGCTTTTAATCAATGTAGCTGACATTATAGAAATAATTATTGTTTATAAACACTCGAATTAAAATCATCAACGTATAAAAACTGACTGAAATATAAACAGTAAACACCCAAAGTAAGTACCTATTAGAATTATTAATAATCAGGTAGGTACCTATTTGTGGGCGGATGTAATTTGCGGGTTTAGGTACCTGAATGCTACTGTGGGCAAAATACCAGTAAGATTAACGCACCCCTTTACTTACACAGGTTGAAAACAGAGATTTGTGGGCAAAAAGGACCCGCCGGTGGAAATACCCCAAATCATAAATTCATTTTCCTTACTATAAAGTGATATAAAAGTAGTAATGAGTAAAAATCAGATATATTTGAAATTTCAGTTAAATGTACCTTTAAATTATTAATAAATGGGAAAACATTTCAGCAATAATTAATTTTGATAAAATTTGGACTAACATTAAATTTTTATAACTTCACAAAGTGTTTTAACTATCGAAATTAGTTGTCGAAAACCGGAAGAAATGTATATTTTTCAATAATTAATTTTTTAGGTTAGTTGGATTGAGTTTGACTAGCTCTCAGGTGGAATTTGACACTGAAGAAAATTCAATAACAGAAGCACAATGTTGTCAAGTTGTGCAATATTTTTTTAGATAAAAAGAATTGCTAAACATTTTTCTAGGGTACTCAGACTAAATTACATATTTTTCAAATTACTGACATATGTATCATAGTACCTACCAGAAGTAGAGTACAAAACATGTTAGTAAAAATACAAGAAATTTAACGTTTTTAATTAATAACTAAAGACATTTTTAATGAAAAATGTACAACAACGATCACCTAACAAAAGATAAAAAAAAATAAACACTTCAACGGATTTACCAAAAATTCGAATAATTTTTTTTTTAGTCAAAATGAACAAAAAAAAATAAATTTTATAAATAACATTAATTCCATTATTCTTTATTTTAATTTAAATTAATTTATTTTATTTATATTTATTAATTTTTATTACTTTTTATAAATTTTTGTTCAGTTTTATTCATTCCATTTCTTTCCTATTTATTCTTATTCATTCATTCTTATTCATTCTTGTTCATTCTTATTCATTCTTATTCATTCTTATTCATTCTTATTCATTCTTATTCATTCTTATTCATTCTTATTCATTCTTAATCATTCTTAATCATTCTTATTCATTCTTATTCATTCTTATTCATTCTTATTCATTCTTATTCATTCTTATTCATTCTTATTCATTCTTATTCATTCTTATTCATTCTTATTCATTCTTATTCATTCTTATTCATTCTTATTCATTCTTATTCATTCTTATTCATTCTTATTCATTCTTATTCATTCTTATTCATTCTTATTCATTCTTATTCATTCTTATTCATTCTTATTCATTCTTATTCATTCTTATTCATTCTTATTCATTCTTATTCATTCTTATTCATTCTTATTCATTCTTATTCATTCTTATTCATTCTTATTCATTCTTATTCATTCTTATTCATTCTTATTCATTCTTATTCATTCTTATTCATTCTTATTCATTCATTTTTATGCATTCTTATTCATGTTGAAACAAATATTTCAACATACCTGCAATCCGTGTCTTTTCTTCGCGTACATCCAAACGCCGTTCTATTCAATTCCCTATCCCTCACGCTGACTATTCTCGGATAGCAACACTGGTCCTTGCATTCCTTATCGTCATATCCACAATCGCATTCCTCTCCCGCTTCGACGATCTTGTTACCGCAGAAAGCACCGGCCGACGTCGTGAAACAATTCCTCTTCTTCTTCTCTTCGATGGCATCGAGAACGTTACTGATGTTACCGATGCTGCAGCTGGAGAATTTGCTGTTGTTTGGACGATCGCCGCTGGTGGCAGACGCGAACATTATGTAGTTACCGTTCGGTCCTCCCGGTCGACATTCGGGTGGATAGTCGTGCTATAAACAATAATTGAGTGGTTCAGTGCTAGAGCTGCCTAAACAATTAATTAAAAATGAGTAAATAGAGATCAAAGATAGAGAATAATTTAAAAATAGTGACTTGCCAAATAAGTGTTTTATTGAACAGTTTTGGTCCTAAATATACATAGCTTTTTTGTCCTACAGATTTCAAAGTTATTAGTATGATTGTCTATTCCTTAAAATTATTCACATCATGACAAAACTAAATACTTATCACAGAGAATAAAAGAGGAAACTTCTTATAAGAGCTTTAAAAAGCAACTTATACTCTTAATAAAAGAAAGTGAAAGAACAGATATTCATAATATAATAGAGAGTTGAACAAAAACAAAATAGAAAATAAAAATTCCCTCTTAGTCTATTATTTCAATGATTCTTATTATTTAGTTAAAAAAATTAAAAACTTAAACTATCTATTATATCAAAGTTTTATTTGTTTCTGATATATGTATTAAATATGTTCTTTTAATAATCATAATTTTTTTTACCACAAACAAGTATTTATAATACTTCAGTGGACATTTTTAGATTTATTTTTAAAATCTTAGAAATCCGACAACGTGGTATAGAATTATTATTGCTGAAGTTGGTTAAAAAAAGGAACAGGTTGTTCTATTAGGAAATATTTCTACGGTAACAGAATTAATTTTGACAAAAAGATAGAAATTCTTGGTCTAATATAATAAAAGAACTTCGAGAGCATGACGGTATTATTTAATGTGATAATGGCTATTATTAATATACAAGTATTAAAAATTAAAAAAAAAAACCGACTTTAAAATCGTGCAGATGCCATCATCACATCTTAACGGTATTATTAAGGTATCCCCTTACTAACATAAAAAGAATCATATAAATCGGACAAGGTGGTAAAGCATTATCGCTAAACATACATAAAAAATGAAGAGTTTGAGGAGTTTCTCATGGACCCAATTATTAGATTTTGGCCAAATTTATATGGGACCACCCCTGAAGTATCCCCTTTCTAACAAAAAAAGAATCATTGAAATCGGACACCGTGTTAAAAAATTATCGCTGAACATACATTAAAAAAAAATATTGCGACGAATTGAGAACCTCTTCATTTTTTGAAGTCGGTTAAAAATAAGAAAATTGTTATTTAAAAATAAAAAAAATAACTAAACCCAATGTACATTATTCATTTTTATTCGTTTTTATTTATTTTTATTCCGTATTTTAAGTTCACAATGGAGTAAAATCAGTTTTTGTTTAGATATCTTACCGGAGGATTTGGTGTAATAAAGTTTTCTATATAAAAAAATTCTGCTTATATGGAAAATAAGATGTCTTCCATTGAGAAAAAAATAGACAATAATGGGCTATTTTTAAATGTTAATAAAACAAATATGTTATTATTATCCCCAAGAGAGTTAAATTATAGTTTACTGGTCCGCCACAATGGTACATGTATAACTCAAAGTAGATGTGTCAAATTTATAGGAGTACATTTTGATTGTAATGTTTCTTGGGATTTTCATGTTGACCATATTACATCTAAATTAGCCACTCACTGTTATGTCCTTTGGCAGCTAAGACATTTCATTACACTCGATTTTGAATTACTGCATATTATGTTGTAGAAATTGTAATAGAATAAATGAATGTTACAAAAAAGGGCTATAGAAGGGCTTAAGAATTGTAACTGTTATTTCCGTTTATATTTTAAAATGTGTGTTATATGTAAGGTCCAATCATCAGAATTTTCTTTGTAGAGGTGATGTTTCTATTATTAGAGGGTAGAATTTAAGAAATGCATAAAAGTATATTTATTAAATAAAATATATATAAAAAAATTATTTTACAAACTTTCTCTAATGGGGCAGGCTTTAGAAGAGGAAGGCATAATTTAAAAAATGTCATGTTATACATTTTGTAAATTCATATTCTAGTTTTCAACTATTTTGCAATTTTCGTTATTTGTATAACTTCAATTTTGTCTTTTTTAAATGAAATTCATAATGGTAATGTAATGTAATGAAAAGTTTGATGATTTTCTTGTAATATGATAATTTATGGATCTCATCAACAGATCTTGACCAAATTTATATGAAACGAACAAAAAAAAAGAATCATAGAAATTGTCTGATTTCTATGATTTATTAAAAAAAAAAAAAATTTCAGTTTTGTTTACTCGAAATTACCCATCCATCAATTTTTTATGGGCGAGATTCTGCCAAATTTTTCAAAAAAGTAAACAATTATCATTGAACGTATATATAAAAAGATATTCTGACGAATTGTGAACTCGATTAATAAAATTATCGACGAAAAATCAACAAATGAAAGGCTTATAAACATGATAAGCCACATTTTTTAAAATAAAGGCATTTTTACTTCACGACAATAAAAAATAAGGTTACAAAAACTTAAATCAAATGGAAATTTTTCAAAAAATACTATAATTAGCCGAACAATCAAGTTATTGCATTTTAACAAAGTTGTATTAGTTATAGAAGTTTATTTTAACCTTGAGGACGTGTTTCCTTAATAAATTAATGTGGTTTATCATGTTATTCCAATAAGCCCTTCAATTAATAAAAATACTTACCGGCGAACCAAAATTATGTCCAATTTCATGCGCCAGCGTCAACTGCGATACCTTCGGCGGCACTCGACTATTATAATTCACAAACGTGATAATACCAGTATTCAACGACCTCTTCGTCGACTGATACATTCCACCGATGGTTTCCGTGTAAGTTTTGTATTTTTCGCAGATACCGCCGGAGGCTCCGGAAGCACTAGCGACCCAAGCCAGTCCCAATGTACCTCCGGTGAAGTCTCTGTAAGTGAACACGTACGCTAGGCAAAAATCTTCGTGGTTGCCTAACGAATGGATGTTGAGGAAATTGCTGACGTCTATGTTTTCTAGGCAGAATTGGTTGATCTCGCCGCAGCCTCTGTGGTAACAGCGGCATGAGGAATCGTCGTCAATCTGGAATAATAGTTGATACATTCCGTCTTTTTACAATTATAATACAAAAATACACTTTCTAAACTATTACTGATTCAGAAATGTAACAAATTTCTTGGTTACATACTAACTGCAGTCTAAATAAAAGGTCCACTAATGGTATCAAAAAAAAAAAAAAAATGCCGAACTGCAGTCTAAACATTTCAGTAGCAGGCAGTCCAGGTAGATGTAATAAGCTTACTCTGTATAATCAGTAGCGTATGCTGTCCGGTTTTTAATGTTATAATAATGCAAATTCAATACTACAAACTTAAAAAAATTAGTGTAATGTAAAATTAATGTGGATATAGATTTATTAAAACACGTTATATATAATATAATACCATTTATTTTAAAATTTACAATAATCACTAATATTTTTAAATAAAAGACATTTTAAAAAATCTAAACACGTTATATTACTAATACAACAATTTATTTAAAAATATACAATAAAAATTATTATTATTATTATTGTATATTATGTTATATTACAAATTATCTTGAAAGTTACAATGAACATTTTGATTCCTAACTAAAATAAACACATTTTAGAAAATCTAATCTACAAATCTCTTTTTGTAAATACTGGTCAATTTTTTGTTGAAGAAACTTTTTTTTTTTGATAATGTGTTTCTAACCTTAGAGAACTGTTCATTTTAGCATATGTATCTGTTTGCATCCCAATCAAACATACATTCTAGAAATTTGTGAATATTTGGATGAGGTGTTTCACAATACTTTTTAAATATAGAGTGAAATGCTTCACAATTATTGATAGTTCGGCAAGTTGAAGATGTTAAAGCAGCCCAAATTTGAGGTGGAAATGTTGCATCCTCGGATATGTATGTATTGACCAAATAATCGACTAAATTGGTCAATTTTATGCTTACGGGCATTATTGATATTAAGTCCACCACAAAAACATCCCCAACTTCCTCAGAAGACAAATAATTTAAACCAAAAATATAGTGAATCAATTTTCCAATTTCGGAATCATTGTTACTGTAGTCATTCGATAACACTAAATATTAAATTTTTCTCCACCAACTCTGTGTTAAATGAAACCGACAACCTATTATATTGCTACTAGGGAAAACACTGTTATGAATAGCCGGTTCGAAATCTACAACAATATATTTTGTTTTTAAGGGAAAACCTAATTCTAAACATTTACTTTTTACTAACCTAAATAAATTTGTATAAGATATTATGGTTTTGTTCTTTAATAAACTGAATGCAACAGGTACATAGTTTCCGCTCACATAACAGTGTATGGTAAACAGTTGTAAAAAATGTTTGGCAGAGTTTTCAAATGTTCCATCCATATAAATATATCTTGATGTTCACATAAAAATGACAAGTTTTGAAAGCACGAAAAAATTACAATTTCTTGAAGCATATCATTAACCAATAAAAAATTCTCACCAATAGCCGTTTTCACTTCCATTTGGTTTAAAAATTCTTGTAAGGCTTCCTTGTTTTAGAGAGCTTTGGTACCATTTTTCGTCAAGCGTTGTTTGCATTTTTTCCAATAAGAGCAAGATCATTTGCACTTAATGTTTTTAAAACATCAGAATCTTTATATATTTCTTGGTGAACCAACTTCCTTGGATTCGTTGACAAATTTTCTGCAGCAACTTGTTTAACTTTATTACTAATTTTCTGTCTATCCAATAATTGAGGAATGTCACTATCATTATTGTGTATTCCATTAAGTCTTGAAAATGCTCCTAATAGTAAATATAATTTCGCATTGCAACTTCTTTTTGAGCATTTTATATAAATAGAACTTACATTTTTCGACAATTAATAATTTTTGGCCCCTTTCACTGATACTTTCCGTAATCTCCATATCTTGACAACTTTATCAAAATAACTGAACTTAAACTTTACAGGCGAAAGAATAGGAAATACTAATAACATTATCTACATTTTCGAGCTATATGCAAATTCAAAAAATATAAAATTCATTATATTATCCCAAAATTCTAAATAAAAGAAAGTCTACAAAGTAGTTTAAGGGATAATTTGGTTGGCTTTAAAATTATATACCTAAATTATTTTTAAAAGGATTTTTAATTTAAAATACATTTTAAATTTTATCTTCTCGGAAATATTATCTACAGATTTCAAAAATGATTTTTAAGGGACACCTATGCATACTTAAAATTGTACCTTTATTTGGACTGCAATTAGTCTGTTTTTGCACCTGGTCGGTAACCTAATACTTTAGACTGCAATTCGGCAGTTGTAAAAATTTAGACAGCAGTTTACCGGCACCTAATTTCTTTATTTGATAACACAAAGTAATAATTTCCATATCAGATCCCTATCTATTAACAGAAAGTAATTATTCCCTAATCATTTTAATAAAATCATGTCATGAAATGATAAATATTATATATAATTAAATAATTTTTTTTTTCATGTCTTAATAATAGTCAACAAAAATATTAAAAAAATTAATATTTTGAACTTAAACGACCACGCTTTTCCTTTGCAAAATGGTTTTCCTTCGAATATAGACCAACGGGATCACTTAAATACTATGATTAGTTTTTAAGGTGTTAAAGTTAAAACATTCCTAATTTTTGAAATCTTATAACTTAATAAAAAACAAATTAATTTATAGTTTTCGTTGTATGTTGTATGTAGAAACTTAAATATACGTTTTTCAAAATATTTACACTTACAGGGTGGTGCGCAATTATGTAATACAAAGTTTTGAAACTTTATTTGAGAAAAAAAATGTTTTTTTTTAAAACTCGTAACTTTTTTGGGTTGGGTGAAAAAATCTAAAAATAGTTTCTAGTGCTGTAGAAAAAGATAAAAAGGTTTTAGCCAAATAAAGTGGCCAATTTAGCTTAGAATGCCCCAAATCTTCATGATTATGATATAACAAAAGTTTGATGCAATTCTTCAAAATATGCAAAAACTTCAATTTACAACAAGCAAGTCCATTTTCACCAGTTTTTTGGTCTGCCCTGTATAAAATATGACGGTCCCTAATTTTGGTTAATTAAATCTAGGCTACATTCAGCGTAATATTAATTTGAGGAATAATCTGGTGCTAGAGTAAAAACAAAAATTTAATTTTGACTCGCCCTGTAACTAATAATAAGTTACGTGTAGGTTATGCTGAAAATATTCATTGATACCAACAGAAGATTGTTCATGGAAAATATCTGTAAGCGAAGTATTTTTTAAGACGTAATGACCAATTTGCAATATCAAAAACTAGTCAAAGTTATACCAAAATTCAGGAAATTCCATATTTATGAATAATCAAATCTTTTTCATTTAAATAAAATAAATATAGATACATATTTGTCAACTCACTTTAATTCTCTGTACTTCAAATTTGATATTACGATGCTCGTTCCTTCCATCAAACTTAGTGTCCCTATAAATATAATTAACGGCAGTGACATGATGGGCGATCAGAGACAGAATTTCTTCTCTAGTCTTTTCGTTGACTTCAGATTGTTTCTTCGGGTCCAAATGCTAAAATATTTATTCTAATTGGTCGAAGAAATAAATAATAAAGAAATATTTATTAAGTCAGTAAGTCCGACAACACTGTCAAAATAATCATGAAAATCATATAAAATAAAATTAATTCTGTGAATGCTGGCACATCAGCTTGATAATTGATATCTTTACTAGCTAAGGAAGTATTTTTGTAATTAAAATTCATATTTACTAACTCAGTAAATCCCATGACGCCGTCAAAGTAATCATGAAAAGCATACGATTAAATCAATTAAATTGTTGCAATTTTCTAGTACTTACTTCAGGAAAACCTTCTCGTATGTGCCTCCATATCAGAGGATCCGTTTGTATATAAAGAGAACAAGTATTCTTATTATCGTCTCTTCTAGTTGATCTTTTATGCCTAGTTTTAGTTTGTTCGTTCATTTCTTTGGAGTATTTGTTAAAAGCGTCTTCGGTATTTATATATTTTTTGTCCGATTGTAATTTTTCCGATACAGGAGGTGAAATGGGCGGATCTCCTTCACCGGAAAACTGTATTTTGTTCATCCACTGGATTACTTCGTCATTGATACCGCAACCAGCTGAGTGTCCTAAAAATAATGTTAAACCGAATCTGTAATAAACATAAATGCAAAAAGAGTAGAAGTTTACTTAATTTACTTCCTGAAATAAACGATTTCGAGATTTAAAGAAACTACAAATCAATTACCTTTTCTAATATTTGCATAAGGATCCTCAACGTGATCTTCGTGATATATGACACTGTGAAAAGTTTTGTTCGGATGGGTTGCATGAGGGAAATAATGGTGGGCTTTTTCTACGTAGTACGAACCCTTCTTTGGCATTATTATTTTTCCTTCAAACACGCCATCTATTATTGATCCAAAGGCGGAACTATTTGGTACACCTGTAACATTTTTTTTTTTCAAATATATATCAAATTTGTTGAATTTAATAAAGCTGTTTTTTACTGGATTGGACTATTTTTATTGTATTCTTCCCAAATAAAAACAGTTTATAAAAAAATTAACAGAAGTTTCATATTTTTTTTTGAAACCATGAACTTAAAAAATATATGAATGTCACTGATAGTCTTAAAAATATATTAGGACCTCACTAGTCTTAAAGGCAACATCGCTTTATTGTATAGATGATTATTTCTCTCAAAATTAACCCATATCCATTTGAAAATAAGATATATGATTAATTAATACCAGAGCAGCTTGACATCTAATGACAGATGTTTGAAGAGGATTCTTTATGGTTTAGAATCATTCCAAGGTACTTCGATAATCTTTTTACACACTTTAAAAGAAATAGAAAATAAATTCAGTGGTATGTGTTTGTAATTTCGAGATTTCGAACTGATTGATGTTGAATTTCGTCTTGGAACAGTTATGATCAGCTACCTAACCTTTCTCGTTTTTCATAGATATTTTTCAACACTTTTAAAAACATGATTCATCAGAAAACGCCACCGCTAACCTTATGGGAATGTCGGCCCACTCTGGGTTTATCGACAATCACTACACAGTAATCCAAAGTTTTTTTAGTAAAAAAATAAATAAAATAAAAAAGAGTATGTTATCGAACGCATGACAAAAGTGAAAGTTTTTAGATGAATTCACTCTGAAATAAATAATTTAAATAAATTTATTTAAATTTTTGAATTTTTTTAAATAATTTTTATTAATTTGCATTAATTTTTATAAATTTATATGAATTTTTAAGAGTTTTTATTAATTATTATGAATTATTATGAATTTTTATGAATATTTTATGGGTTTTTATGAATTTTTATGAACATTTTATGGGTTTTTATGAATTTTTATGAATATTTTATGGGTTTTTATAAATTTTTTAAGAGTTTTTATGAATTTTTATTAATTGATTTTTAATTTAATTTATCTTGACATCGAGGATGTCGTTGTTAAGGTATCAGGACATGGAAATATGTCAGTCCAGGGTGAGCCATAAAGTTTCATTTTAAAAATGTCACTTTAAAAAATTGAGTTTTCCTCAAAAAAAAAAAACTGAAAAATTTCATAGGACGACATCGAAAATATTTTTTGTATTTTTTACTGAAAATTACATTCAAAATGAAAATTTACACAAAAAACGTTTCTTTTAGTCAAATTGTGAAAAAGTTACAGGGGATTTGCATTAATTTTTATGAATTTTTATAAATTTTTATGAACTTTTATGAATTTTTATGAATTTTTATGAATTTTTATGAATTTTTATGAATTTTTATGAATTTTTATGAATTTTTATGAATTTTTATGAATTTTTATGAATTTTTATGAATTTTTAAGTTTTAGTTTTCCTCAAAAAACTGAAAAATTTCATAGAACGGATATCGAACATATTTTTCGTAGTTTTTACTGAAAAAACTACATTCAAAATGAAAATTTACACAAAAAACGTTTCATTTAGTCAAATTGTAAAAAAGTTATAGGGATTTGCATTAATTTTTATGAATTTTTAAGTTTGAGTTTTCCTCAAAAAACTGAAAAATTTTATAGAACGATATCGAACATATTTTTCGTAGTTTTTACTGAAAACTACATTTAAAATGAAAATTTACACAAAAAACATCGCGTTTAGTCAAATTTTTGAAAATGTTATAGGGATTTGCATTTTTTTATTTGTATAAATTTATTTTTATTAATTTTTAATTTTTATTAATTTTTATTTATTTAAATGCAAATGTAGTTTCGAGATGTCCAACTGATGTGAATTTCATCTTGGAAATGATGTTATGATAAGAGCAAGATTGGTTTAATTTTTTTTTAAATGAAAATAATGCAGATTTATTAGAAAAAAAAAAGACGAAAAAAAAAATATTTTTTAATTTTTAGTCTGTGGAAGTTTTTGAATTGAAATTTGAAAACTTTTATTTTGAAGAGATCAATTTCCTTTAATTTATCATTTTAAATAAACTTTCAATTTCCTCTTGTACAGAAGTTCAGGCCCGAATTTATATTATTTCAATTCTGTATATTTCATATTTTTGAGTATTTTTTAAAGTAATTTGAAAAAGATGTTTATTTTAACGACTTATATACACAGTAAAAAAACTTGGGGTTCACCCTGTATACACTTATAACAGGATGACTACTTCAATTTATCATGTATTTTGAAAACAACAGACGCATTGTTTTCGGTTTTGAATTCCTTTTACAACAAAAGTATCAGATTATATTGGATTAGACCCTCCTCGTAGGGTATAATGTAAATTATTATATCTCTATTACCTGAACTTTCTTCAATTCGTCGAAATTATTAATTATTCCATACCTATAGATATTTTTCCATCAAAAGGATTTTATCGGTGTTTTAACTGGAAATACAATGACAAAAAAATATAAATTTGGTTTGCGTTTTCGTAAATACCTTTCCCCGAAAATGTAAGCCTTTTCCTCCGAAACATTGGGATTAAAATACAAACAAATTCTCGGAATTGTCGATAGACTTAATTGTATCATTATTTGTTCGTAGAATTGTAGTTAACGTTTACAGAACGTTTCGAGGATTTTTATATTCTGAGAAATATTTTTTAGGGTAATATTTCTAAATTATTTTGATTCCAAAAATAACAAATTATAACTAGAATTCGATGAAATTTAACCCACAATAGGAGGTCCAAAAAAGAAATATTTAGTTATTCCGAAAAAAAAAAAAATTAATATTAATAATAATCAGTGATACACAAATTTCTAGAGGTGTTCGACGCCCAGACAGAGAACGCGCTACGTGTGACTAAGATAGCTATTGTACAGTCTGCTAAACAAGTTATTTTAAATAGTTTTTAATATTTTTAGGTAATTAAATTTTAAAAGTGTGGAATAGTTTAGGGATTAAATTGGTCTGATTGGACTTTCTTAGAACGTTTTTAAAAGCAGCTAAAGATAGTATGTAGAATTGAAAATAATTATTATGCCATAAAAGGTGTTTTGGAATTCCTTCAACCTTTTGAAATTGAGTCAGAAAATATAAATTTTATAGGATAGCGGAAAATACCTATAATTTTTTTGTAGGCCTTTGTAAATTGTGGAAATAGTTTATATTTTATTTCTACCTTATTAAGGAAAATGGTACCTATTATTAATAACGGTTGTTTCTGAAACATTACTAAAATTTTCGAAATTTTGTTTTTCTACAAAATAATAAACTATACTATTTAGAAAAAAATTTATTTCTCTTATAATTTTATAAAAACTAACAGGGGAATATTTACATTTCTTGATCTATTAAACAAAACGATAAATTATCTCGACGAATGACACCATGTTCTAGTACGGAAGCTAGCTTTACATTTTTGTTGGTGGTTTCATGGGTTTCATATCAATTTTTTGTAATTGTAGTTTACACGTACATATACCTCTTAACACTTGTTTGCTTTATTAAAAAAGTGTGTTGTTGTGATTTACGTCGAAATAAGTCAAAAACAACTTGAAACCCCATATAAAATCAAAAAGGAGAAACGGAAAAAAATTGAGCCTGTAAATGAACACAACTCAGAAACAAAAATAGCTATCTAATAATAAAAAAATAAAATTTGATTCTTGTGCAGCTTCATCTATATCATTAACTGTTTTTGGTTTTTTAATGGTTTTTCTTGGTGATGAAAATTCCGATATCTCACGGTTATCGATTCTTTTTTTCTCTCCAGAAATGCGGACGACAGTGTTTTTAGATACTCCTGTGGCTGCAGCAACACGATCATTTATATTTTTAAATGGTATTGAAGGTGAATTAAAGTTTCCTTCTCTTCTCATAAACTCTATAACATTGGCTATTATTTCGCGAGATTGACTGTTAATCACGCGGCCTCTTAATTTGCTATTAAACTCCATACTTAGGTTCTATTAAACTGTAATGAGCAAAAAACAAACGAAAATAAAAGAAATGTTTTAGCGAAATTTACATCTGACATTTACGTCTGAATGAAATAGTGAAATACTTGATGCGCAGAGTGTACTTTCATTGCGTAAATCCGTCGGGATGCCTGTCAGTAGTGCTTTCTCTGTCTAGCCGTCGAAAGCCTCTAGAAATTTGATGAACTGTAATTTGTAAATTCTATTGATAAAAGATTAGGGCGTTCAAAAAAAAAAAGATAATTCGTTTTGGGATCAATAATTATCCAAATATTTTATGTATAATAGTTATATTTTCCGAAGTTTACTACGCGTCTCGCCTGCAACTCGTAGAAGTCCGAAAAAACTCTTTTCCTACGTGTTTTATACATGATTTTTTATTTAAACATGATTATAGAAAAATAGACATATAAATAATAGCATTGGTTCAGGAAACATCCCTTTCTCAAACAAGCTCAGCTTCCTGAGGTTCCCTACGAATCTGAAGGCTGTTACCTCAATCAGTGTTGCCATTTTTTGGTTTTTGTAATTGTGTAATTTTTTTTGTGCCTTTTTAATTGTAAACAATTTATACAAATATATTTTACACTTATAATCATTGTAGATCTTCTAAATATGTTTTTTGCATGAACAAACGTTTTATCTTGCACATTAACTTGAATAAATTTTATATGTAATTTATTTGACTTACCTAAAATATTTCCTTGGTAGATATGGGATGTATCGAGATCGAGCATTCCTTCAGGTCCGTGAATCTCTAGTTTGTCATTGAAAACGTCGAGATCTCGCTTCATCCGTAATCGAAAGTCATGACCATGGGCATTGAATGAAATTTGGACGACAGCTTCAGAACTTGCGGACCTTTTGGCTCTAAAATGGGCGTGTTGAACATCTTTTGTATCGTAGTTAAGAGTTTCATAGGTATTGATGTATTCGTTTAATCGTTCAGCTAATAGAAAAAAATATATAATTGTAATCTAAAATATACCTCTAATATTATAAAGATAGAACAGAAATACATTATTATAACCTTTATTTAGCTAGTTTGCTAATATCACAATAAACAAGTTTAGAAAAAAAATATATACAAGTCAATTAAAACTAACTAATCCTAGAGGTAATTACTGTATCTGGAGAAATATTCATTAATTAAATGATCTATTAAGCACCTAATATTTCATTAGCCCAGTGATATGCACTAAAGATTAACAATAACGAAGATATTGGCATTTAAAGAAACAGGGGTGTTATATTTCGAATAGGCTCCTCCCAAACACTAACCTATTTAAGGACTGGTACATAAAAATATATTTCAATTTAACTTTTTCTTCCTAATATGGCTATCGTTGAAATTATCAGAAGTTTTCTAGGTCATCTTCATACAGTGGACAAATAACAGATCCAGAAAATACAAAAACAAACTTGTTTAACAATTCCAAATGAAGCGTACAGACCAGAGATGTGAACCGGTACATTATCGGTAATCTACCGGTAAATTACCGATAAATTACCGTGGCAATAAACCGTAATTTGCTAGAAATAAATTACCGTAATTTACAAAGTAAATTCTTCTAATTAACAAAGTAAATTAACGATTTTTGTGATAAAAAAATACGTTATTTACAGTTTTTACCGTTACTTGCTGTTATTAATTATTTATCGGGTTCTTACTTATTTTCCGGGTTTTTACAGTTATTTACCGGGTTTTTACAGTTATTTACCGGGTTTTTACAGTTATTTACCGCGTTTTTAGTTATTTGCCGGGTTTTACAGTTATTCATCGGGGTTTTACAGTTATTTACCGTGTTTTAACAGTTATTTACCGGGTTTTAACAGTTATTTACCGGGTTTTAACAGTTATTTACAGGATTTTTAGTTATTTGCCGGGTTTTTACCGGTACTTAGTATTTTCATTTATTTACCGTTATTTATGGCGTTGTCTTGTAATTTAACACATTCGAAAGCGACGATCGTTAGCGATATGATGCGATATGCGTTCGGTTCGAAGATTGACATCGTTCAAAATAAGATATTTGCGTTCTATAAAATAAAGACGAAAAGCATTAGAAATATCATCATTGCCGAAAACCCGAGAAGACTTTGTAATTTCCGATTGTCTAATATATACCAGATTTTAATCCAACATAAAAACAGATTGCGAAACAGCAGTAAAACCTGCCTGTACAGGAAGATTTCCCGATTGTGAGATGAAAGGTTGTAATTTCCAGTTCAACCAAGCATTATGGCATCATGTTCAATATTTGGGACTTGCAACAAAATATAGAGATGATACAGATATTAAAAGGCACCGAGTTTTACAGTTACTTGTCAAGTTTTTACCGTTACAGTAATTTACCAGAAATAAATTACCGTAATTTACAAAGTAAATTCTTGTAATGAACAAAGTAAATTGCCGATTTTTGTAATAAAAAAATACGTTATTTACAGTTTTTTACCGTTACTTACCGTTATTTATTATTATTTACCGAGTTTTACAATTACTTACCAAGTTTTTACCGTTACAGTAAATTACCAGAAATAAATTACCGTAATTTACAAAGTAAATTCTTGTAATTAACAAAGTAAATTGCCGATTTAAAAAAAAATACGTTATTTACAGATTTTACCGTTATCTATTATTATTTACCGTTATTTACAGAGTTTTACAGTTAGAAATAAATTACTATAATTTACAAAGTAAATTCTTGTAATTAATAAATTAAAATGCCGATTTTTCTGATAAAAAATACGTTATTTACCGAGTTTTACAGTTACTTACCAAGTTTTACCGTTACAGTAATTTAACAGAAATATATTACCGTAATTTACAAAGTAAATTCTTGCAATTAACAAAGTAAATTACCGATTTTTGTGATAAAAAAATTCGTTATTTACAGTTTTTTCCCTTATTTATTATTATTTACCGAGTTTTACAGTTACTTGCCAAGTTTTTACCGTTACAGTAATTTACCAGAAATAAATTACCGTAATTTACAAAGTAAATTACCGTAATTTACAAAGTAAATTACCGTAATTTACAAAATAAATTCTTGTAACTACAAAGTAAATTACCGATTTTTGTGGAAAAAAAAAAATACGTTTTTACAGTTTTTTTACGGTTATTTTTTATTTTTCGTTTTTTTGTCGTTATTTACACTTATTTGCCGCTTTTATGGCGTTTTTTTTTTGTAATTTTACATATTATTCGAAAGCGACGATTGTTAGCGATATGATGCGATAGGCGCTCGGTTCGGGGAATGACCGTGGGCTGTCGGAGATTATTAGGCCATTGTCGGGGATTTACATCGTTCAAAATGCGATATTTGCGTTCTATAAAATAAAGCATTGCCGAAAATCCGAGAAGACTATAATTCCCGATTGTCTAAAAAACTTTCGATGAAGGCACTAATATATATTTAAATCCAACAAACAAAAATAGATTTCGAAACAGCAACAATATCTGCCTGTAGAGAATTGTTTAACTCCAGAATTTACGAACGAGGGCTGGTTAATGGAGTGTAGTCTCACTAATAAGCAAATATTGAATACAATTATTTCGTAGCAACCATCCAGGACATGTGGATGTGTCACGGAGAACGTCACAAAACAACAAATATTTGCAATTCTTGGCCTCAATAGGACAATTGGAAAATCGAATCCAAATATAATTCAATTGATTCCTAATTACATTACTATAATTCAACAGATAATCGAAAACAATATATCTCCGGGAAAGGGACAGTTATTATGATTATTTGCCGTGGCGGTCCGGGGCGACTTAAAGATGATTAATGGTGCCATTTAATTTACAAATAAGGAAAACCTTACCCACCATCATTAGGTACCTAATCATAATAGTTACTGCATAATAAAAATCAGTTGTATTTGTTTATTTTGTAAACCGCCCTTTAGTTTTACCTGTCAACTGTCAACCGTTACGTCAGATTAACTAGAGATAGCGGGGATTGAGAAATACTTGTCTTGTCTGGTAACTACTTGTACTTAGTTCCATCCATCCAAATAATTTGAAAATAACCTTTTCAAGAGTTAATTAAACATTTATAAATATATGCATATTAATATAAGCTACCCCAATTAAGTTGTAAAACTTTACAATTGAAAAATATGCCTAGCAACAAAAGTTGGAGGAGATACTGATGAACTTGATCTTAAAAAAAAAACAGATGATTCCTCTTATAAAATAACAATCTTTATTATCTAAAGATTACAGTAAAAATCTCAGATTTAGTAGTAAATTTAATTTATTAATAAAGATATTCTTAGTAGTAATGACATCGTGGGAAACCGAGACATATTTTCTATACATCAAGTTAGATGTTTTTCAATTACGTTACAGATGTACAATATTTGTAGAACATCCTAGTTCACATGAGTATACATATGTATTAAAATATAGTGTGCACACGCTGTATAGGAGCAGAAGAGTCCATTACGAAATGAGGTGGGGTAACTGTAAGCAACTATCATTCCCCCGAGTCACTCTTTAACGAATACTGACAAAATATACCTATAGGGCAATCTGTATCGTACCTTCTAGCATAGCGAGAGGTACAAAGCAACAACTACCAGCATGAAATTCTAAATTTTCTCAACGCAAGTGTGTCTTTTTTTAGGTTTACAGTACATATATGTATTAAAAAGTGTAAACGTTCGCGTTAGTTAATGAATTAAAACAATAATAATTATAATAAAAAATGCTTTTATTGGCCAAACTAAGTACCTAATACAACGAAAGAAAAAAAATATAAATAGTTTGCCAAATGGCAGAGTTCAAAATCTCTAATAAAAATTAGAGTTTTGCCTTTCCACTCAACCAATAGTACGTCTCATCAATGTTTCATGTTCATAGACAAGGTGTATTTTAAGGAAATCTATTCATCTGTAAGGACCTTAGCCTCCAACATAAACAGAAAATGTTGTCTCTAAAGAGCTATAGGAAGATTTGAAACATGTTGAGACCACTTTGAGTTTCGGTTTCATTGAGTTTCAGTTAATTTGGAATAAATCACTCATTCAATTTATTAGTTGTACTGCTGATTTCGAGTTAAAGTTCATTTGGAATTGGAATGGTAGAAGGTGACAACAACAGCAAACTTAATACAATATATATTATTCATATGATCAAAAAGATCGTTTATATAAATTAAAAATAGTAGTGGTCATAGAACTGACCCTTGCGGTACTCCAGGCTGCATACGAAGCGAACATTGCCATATATAATACTGTTAGAAGCAGTCTACTATGGAATGAGGTGGGGTAACTGCAAGCAACTATCATAAGCAACGAATACTAAAATATACACAAACTACATAACAAAGATGTCTGGGTTCAAATCCCGAAGGCGACAGTCGGGGATGGTCTTAATAATTCGTAGGGGGATATTTGAGATTTGTTTCAGAATTTTCAAAATTATTCTACAACTTATTTCAGATAATTCTGACTTTTCGAATTTCGATTTCACAACTTTCAAAATTAACTAGATAAACAATATTTAATTTCAGTTTTTAAATATTTTTCAGCTATAATGACGAAAGTTTTAAATTAATCCCCATGGTAGGGTAGGTATCAAATAATTAATGAGTACTATATCATTCAAGGTAGTGTGCACATTTTTGTCTCCAATAAGTATCAAATTAAAGGTATCCCTTCTGTAGTTAATGTGTTAATAAATGTTGATTATTTTTTAGATATTCAGTATTATTATCCATTAAATATTATTTTAGAATTGAAATCTGAGGATACATATCACAATAGCATATAGCAAAATTATATTCAGCAAGTAACTTTTAAAATTTTAATTGAATCAATATCGAATGAACACGTTAGTGTTTTGATCTTGTCATAAACTGTATATTACTTCAAGTGCATTGCCCTTAAAACATTAATGCCACTTCAGGAATCATTATTACAAAAGTTTAAGTGTTTTGA